AGCCATGGCGCAGAAGTATGCGATGAAAGATCTGGGGGACTTACACTTCATCCTGGGTCTTCAGGTCACCCGCGATCGTCTGGCGCGAACCCTCCATGTCAAACAATCCAAATATATCACCACTATCCTTGACCGCTTCTCCTTCTCCGACTGTCGCACCACTCCTACTCCTCTTCAGGCCAATATCGTTCTCAATCCTCGCGAGGAGGATGAGCCTCTCTGCGACCGGGATCGGTATCTTCAGGGTCTTGGATCCCTCATGTATGCCATGCTTGGCACACGCCCTGACCTTGCTTTCCCAATCAGCCTCCTCTCCCGCTTCTCCAACGACCCGTCTTCTCGCCACTGGACTGCCATGGTCCATGTTTTTCGCTATCTTGCTGGCACGCGCGACCTTGGTCTCACCTATGGGGGTGATGGGGACCTGGGATTGAGTGGGTTTTCGGACAGTGATTGGTCCAGCAGTGACCTACAAACAAGGAAGTCTGTGAGCGGGTGTATTGTCCGTTTTGGTGGGGCAGCTGTCAGCTGGATATCGAAGCGGGAGCCGACTGTGGCGTTGAACACTGGCGAAGCCGAACTCATGGGTATGTCCCACAGTGCTCGGGAGCTGGTGTGGGTACGTCAGGAGCTGGCTGAACTTCAATTCCCCACCCATTTCCACATTCCCCTCTACGGCGACAACAATGCCGCCATTGCTCTTGCCAAGAACCCTGTCAAACATGGCCGTAACAAGCAAATCGATATCCGCTTCCACCACCTTCGGGACCTTGTGGAGCGAGGCTGGCTGGCAGTGAAATACATCCCCACTGCCGCTATGGTGGCTGATGGCCTGACCAAGGCTCTGGGCCCGATCAAGTTTGGCCGCTTCCGTCAGGCCTTGGGCCTTAAACCCCATGAGAAACCGTGCTGAGACCGGGAGCTGGAGACTCGGGGGAGATGACAATTGGTGGTTCTGGTTGTGGGGTGGCTCTGTGTTGAGGGGGTGTATATGGAAGCTGTTTTTGTTCTAGACCAAGTTCACGAGTGGTAGTGTTGTGGTATCCCGGCGTGAACTTGTAGTGGTAGAAATAGGCGAAGAAGGGAATTAGGCGCGCGAGAGTTTTCCACATAGATTTCCATGTTCTCGTGTACACAGTCCTTCTTCTTCATATGCAAACTAGATAGCCTAACCTTCCAACACGAGCAATCACCGCCGTTTTAGTAACATCGACCATAGGGACATCATCTCTGACGTTTGGTGTTCTCATCGTGATATTTGTACGCGACTGCTGTACTGCTGTAGAAGAAGAGAAGCGGCACTCTTATGTAGGGTTTCCCCCCAAGTCATTATCGTGTAGGGCTTCTCAACACGTACGGTTGATGAAAAGTTTGACAGATGTCTTCTACTGTGAGCAATTTCCAACTTTAAATTACTCTTCTCGGATCAGACCATGCAGCTAAATCTGGGAAAGTGGCATCGTGCAGGTATTATTAGCTCCTTGGTGGTATGCGGCCGTGTCGCGCTATGAGATGAAAGGGAGCGTGAAGACTGTCTATCGGGAGGGGGATGAGCGAAATGAAGAATGCATGAGATGATACAACGTGTGAAGAAGGCCCTCAACAGGCACTTTTACTCTTTTTAAGCCCTCTCTTCCGCCTCCCTCTTGACCCTGACAGCCTCCCTCCTGCCCTGCACACCAGCCCTCAACTCATCCAAGATACCAACCGTCTGCTCCCAGCTGACACAAGCATCCGTCACACTGACACCGTACTTGAGGCCGACAGGACCCTCGGGAGGCACGTTCTGCCTGCCTTCGTAGATGTTGGACTCGATCATGACGCCGATGAGGGAGGAGGATGTGGTGGAGGAGGTGGAGGAGAGTTGGGTGGAGATGGAGGAGGCGACTTTGATTTGGTTTTGGTGTTGTTTGGAAGAGTTGCCGTGGGAGCAGTCGACCTAGAAGATGGTTAGCTGAATTTTTGACCTTTGGGGATGGGTGCTTACCATGATCTTGGAGGGAAGGCCAGCCTTGGTCAACTTTTCTCCGCAAGCAGCGACCTCATCTTCCTCGTAATTCGGTCCCTTGCTGCTGCCTCTCAAAATGACGTGCGTCGAAGCGTTGCCCTCAGTCTCGACAATAGCCGACAAGCCCTGTTTCGTCACAGACAAGAAAGTGTGACCAGCGCCAGCGGCTTTGATGGCGTCGATAGCGATGCCGATGGAGCCGTCGGTACCGTTCTTGAAGCCGACAGACATGGAGAGGGCAGAGGCGAGTTCACGGTGGACTTGAGACTCGGTCGTTCGGGCGCCGATGGCACCCCAGGCGAAGAGGTCGGCAAGGTACTGGGGCGAAATGACATCTGCGGCCTCGTCAGATCTGGTCGATAGACTGACAAGAGAGCGACTTACCGAGGAACTCGCCAGCCGTGGGAAGACCGATTTCGGTAATGTCCAACAACAGCTTTCGGGCAATCTTCAGACCGCGGTTGATTTGGTAAGAGTTGTTCATGTCGGGGTCGTTGATGAGACCTTTCCAGCCGACGGTGGTTCGGGGCCTGCTCAAAAGTCAGCACTGCCCACCGACAAGACACAAGGCCACTTACTTTTCAAAGTAGACTCGCATGATAATCACGAGGTCATCCTCGGCAGCATCGGCATACTCTTTGAGCTTTTTGGCGTAGGTGACGGCCTGTTCGGGGTTGTGGACGGAGCACGGGCTATTGTATGATCAGCCGCACGATCCTATTCCACAGAAGGGCCACTTACCCAACAATGACAAGTAGTCTGTCGTCGTCCCCCTTGATGACAGCCTCGACCTGCCTCCTACCATCCAATACCGTCTGAGCACCTCTCAAGGAAAGCGGCAGCCTGTAATATTAAGCGAATCAGTCATGGCTGCCCCGCATCTCGGTTAGATTAGATTTCAACTGACTCTTCGTGGAGGATCTGAGGACTGGCGTTGAATGTGAGTATGGGTAGGAGTGAGAGAGAGAGAGAGAGGGACGTACGGGATGAGAGGTCGCACACACTTGACTCTACGGTCGTCGAGGAGGTCCATGGCCTATATCTCATCAGTTTCCCGCTGGTCGTCCGTCCGGCTACTCACGTCGCGCACAGAAGCTCTAGTGGGAGAAGGCATCGGTGTTGCAATACGGAGATGGATATGTGCAAGATGGAGTTTATTGCAGAATGTCTTTTCAAGATGAGTTTCGAGTTAAATTTACCCCGCATCACGACTCAAGCTCCGCCCGGGCGGCCATCGCCGTCTCTCGGCATACTGGGTATATTTCCATGCAAGGGTATAGTCTAGCTACAAATGAGACCAAGGCTCCATATCTATGAGTCAAAAAATGGGGAATGATATAATGAGATTGTCCGTCAATCAAGTGGTGAAAAAAAATCGCAGAACTGCTGTACGAGTACTGCGCACTCTTCTCCACCGTCTTCTCCACCGTCTTCTTCGCCGTCTTCTTCCTCAAAACCTCCTTCTTTTCCTTTCTCCGGTCTGCCCGCACTGCGTCAAACACGTCTAACAATCGTCTATCAGACGATTCTTCGGGTACGTATACCCCGCATCCTCCCAAGTCGTCAGATTCGGGTTGGAATAGGCGTTCAAGTGGTTCTCGATATACTCTGCCGTGGGGTAATCTGCGCACTATGGTCAGCTTACAAAGTCCCATCACTGTCCAAACAAGCTACGCACCATCGGGGTTACAGGTGACACTGATACGGTCGGGCTTTTGGTACACTCGAATATAGTCGATACGGTGATAGTTGGGCCAGACGAGGTGGTCGAGGTCGACAGCTTGGAAGTTGTATGACATGTGCAAGTTGAAAATCTACCCCTTCTTGTCAGGATACATGATTCAACGGGGAAGGAAGAGACGTACCAAAGCCAAAGGTTCCTCCGGGACCATCCTCTGCCCAATTTCCGTCTTGTTGTTCGGCGCCAGCGTACCTCCGTAGAGCGTCCAGCTCGTCTTGTTATCACTGTACCAAGTGATGTACCCGTCTTCCCTGTGATCGGGGAACGCTTGGTATTCGACACCGAACACTCCGAACTTGCCGGACTCGCCTTCTTGGTTGTAGTAGATGTCTCGGGGGACACGGGTGAGGGAGGAGAGGGCTTGTTGGGTGGTACCACCGAGGTAGGTGTTCCAGTACGAGAGATCGGTGTCGTACATCCTGAAGTTGTCAGAGGCGTTGTTCCATTGGTAATGGTCATCGACTATACCCCCCGTCAGCTCAGACACTGGAAAGAAGCAAAAAGAGACGTACAAGGTGCAATCTGCAAACTCTGACTGACTTCTCCTCGAGCTTCATCCAAGATGATCTGCGCTTCGATGATATCGATCTCTGGCGCAGACCTGCCCACGTTGCTACTCGGCCCCGGGTGATCTTCGCCCTCGCAAGTACAGGCAGAGATTCGTTGGCCGGGGAGGAAGGAGAGGGGACCACTGTTGGAGCCGGTGTTGAGGGTGGCGGCGGGGCCGGTACCGTTGACCCAAGTTTGGTTGGGAAGGGTTCCGATGTCGCAGGTATCGTAAGAGTATCTATAGCAAAGTCAGCTTTGACGCGTGGGTAGGGAGAGGAAGGGCGACGCACGGCCAAGTTCCATCGGTGGTAGCACCATAACCCGGTCGACCGAGGTTGCCCATCGTCCAGATACCAGGCCAGAATCCACCCAGACTGGTGTTTCCGGGGAAACTAGCAGAGACTTCGATAAATGCGTTCTTGTTGAAACAGAGCTTGTTCCAGGATTGGACCATGCCGGACTTGAAGTTGAGATCGTGGATGGGTTCTTGGGTCATGGTCATGACGAGGTGGCCGTCTCTGGTGGTGACGGCGGAAGGGTCGAGCCACTCGAGATCACTACGCGATGTCAGCCTGGGAGGAGGTTAGAAAGAGAGAGACACGAACCCAGTACCCCAGTAGTGGATGTCCATAGCGGTAAAGAAAGGGTCGTCGCCTTCAAAGAACGTTCGGCCCTCTTTTTCAAATTCGTCCGAGAATACCAGAGTCCATTCACCACCATCAGCTCCCGTCCTTGAATGCGCCCACTCGGGCGTATCCTCGTCAATCATACTAGGCAGTCCGGGGATCTCGGGGTACTGTCCCGACGCGTTGACACCTCCGATATTGTAACCCGCCGTAGCCGACCCGCTGGAAGAGTCGTCGCCATAGTAGTAGGTGAGGATGGGATAGCCTGCGAAGAGCATGATGCCGCCGCCGGCGAGGACAAAGAGGGTGAGGGCGTTGAGCCATCCACGGAGGGAGGTAAAGGTGAAGGGGGTTGATATTTTCGATGCGCGTAGCTCGCCGGGGGTGAAGGTATGGAGATCATCGTCGAGGTCGTCGTCTTCGTTCGAAGGCATGGGCTGATTGTTCGCTGGCGCGCCTGCTTGTCTTAGCAGGGGCCCACGTACGTTTGCTGTCGATACGCCGCCAGCAACGTTTGCTGTAGGCCCAAAGCCACCACCGCTATAAGGGTTGGCAGAGTAGGCAGAGGTATGAGACATTTCAGAGTCGACGCGCGGGAGGGAGGGGGATGGAGAGATGACGCCCGAGTTGCGGTGGGACATGCCACCAAAGTCGTTGGATGTGTATGAGTAGTCGGAGTAGCGGTGGGAGTTGTGTTGGTCTGGGTGGGAGGCGTAGGCGAGAAGGGGTTCGTGGCCGGACTGGGAGTGAGTGGGCGAGTTCATGAGTCGTTGGCAGGAATGTCGTGGGGAGAGCGATATGCGTCAAGGCGAAGGAGAAGGACAAAGAAAGAGAAAGGCTTGTAAGCAAGCGGCGTGGGAAAAGAAGAGAGAGATGTGAACTCACAGATATTTGCCTTAGGAGATAAAAGGGTGACTTGCAAAAAAGCGATGCTAGGAAACGAAATGACGTTCGGGGAGGATATAGTACCGCCCTGGTTCTAAAGCTGCGATGGTAGACGAACTAGTGTTTTGCTGATGTTTGCGGCTGCGAAGGTATACCTTTTTTTCTAATCGTTACAGAGAGGAGGTTATGCTAGGAAAAGATATGCATGCACAAGATGCGGATGATCACAAACGGGCACGATTTGCTCGGTAAAACAAGGTGGAGGTCGGTTTCATCGCAGAGATTTCCCGCCCTGCGATAAGACGTGGTACACGGACTAACCCCAGGTAAAGGTCCCCGGGAAAAGATACCCTCCGACTCCCTTCTCCTTATATAGCTTTATTATAGATGAAAGAGAAGTATGGCGCACACTTTGCCCTCGTTCTCTTGGCTGCCTCTCGAAAAAGAACAAAAGAAAAGCCGCCGCGGATCCTTTTGAAAGGCGCGGATTATCCGCCCTGACGTCATCCGGATAGGCACGGCCTCTTTTTATGCTTTTTCGGGGTCCTCTGTTGCGGCGGCGGGTTCCTCTCCGTGCATGCTCGGAGGTTGTTTGGCTCGGCTGTTCTACCATTATAACAAGTGTAGGATCCCACGTTATGTATGTCGGCATAACAATTCCTTATGTCCCACCCTTATTGGCCAGCCCATTCGATTGTGGTCTTATTTCCAGCCTATATGTCGATTGCATTATATCTCGGTGGACAATAATAGGAACTGGTCCAAAATCGAATACGAAAGCATCCCGTACGAGTACCATTCATGTTATCTAAAAATACTCATAAGGAGATCCGTCCTTTCTAGTTTCTAACGACCGATTCGGAGAATGAGCACAGAATGGTTCAGGCATTATCAGGCGGCGGTTGCCTTGGGGTGTAGCATATATATCTTGTTTTCCAACATTACGTTCTAATAGATACATACACAAATTTGGCAATGTCCGTTCATGACGAAAACTCATCAGTGGTCGAAGAGGAAGTCGAGGAAGAAGTCGTCGAGGATGCTAAAGATGGCGACAACTCATCGACAGTCGACGAGGAGGATGTCGACGATGCCGAGGATTCCGAGGAGTATATCGACGGCGAGTCTTCTGATTATCTGTACTCTGACAGTTACCTCTTCATTCCAGCTGAAGAACAAGGCAGTACCATGGGAAGGCAAACTGTAGCGAGACACAAAACAGTGTCTCGAATTGACCGCTGGCTCGCGAACGTTACTCAGGCTTCGCACGATACCCTACCCGCACACCCCGATCCAGGGATAGAGGGACAGCTGTCGTATCTACGCATGCGACCCTCAAGGTGCGTCTTGTCCCCCCATGGCTGTTACTGTTTCAGATATATGAGTAATGCGTATGCTGAGATCCCCACTCTCTAGAGCCTTAGATTGGCTGCAAGAAGGCGCCACCAGCAACCAAAAGGCGCTCGGCGAATATCGAGAAGAAAACAGCAAACCGGATGATGCCAAGCTCGAGCTCAATGTCGTTGACGCTGTGACATACAATCTGATGAATCATCGAGCAGGCTTCGCCAGTGGCGCTCAGACATGGCTATCTAAGCGTCCCGGAGGACATGCAATCGGATGCATATGCGCGTGACACGGAATATCACACTAGCGCCACTGAGTTGACTGAGGAGGGGGTTCCGCCCTTTGTCCCAGCTGAATCTTTCGAAACGAGTTCGATCTGCTCTGTGCTCGTATCCACAGACTTCAACAAAGGCGTCCTTCAGGAGGTACTGGACGGCTTCACTGAGCAGCCTAGCGAAATTATGTCACATATACGAAACCACAACGCATATATTAGGATGAGGTTCGATGACGAAGAGTGTTGTAAGGAGTTTGATCCCAAGTTCCGAACACTGCTCAATTCATGGAATGATACCTTGAGAGATTTGCAGGACGCGGGGATGGAAGGCCTTCCTCTACCGCGGTAGAAGGTCGATGGTATGCTCGATCGATAGACAAACGGCGGGATGATGATTAGGTATAGGGAGACATGCGATCATACCGTCGAGCAGGTACTTTCCGCCTACGTTTGAGCCTGCTCTATATACTATTATCCTTTTGCCCACCCCTCTACTACCTCTGCTCGCCGTACCGTGTCTCCTTCTTACAGCTTGACAATGAAATTGCTGCCAGAGGTAAAATTTTACAGTGCGATATTGCACACTCCATAACAGAACATACATTCGAACACTGACGATGGGAAACATGTCCGTAGAACCGCGATCTCAAGTAGTTCGGAGACATGATCAACGGGACTTTTGAATGCTCTCCCATCCTCAAGTAGTAGTCTTGTTCCAGGACAAAGGCATGGTGCAATGTTGTGCAGCTAGCATTGACACACTTCCCACAGATTTCTACTGCCCCCGATGCCGAGTGTTATGGATGTTCTCCACTTGAGCGACCGAGCTAACGCCTTGCGGAAATGGCGCACGCTGGTTTGTCTTCTCGATACAACTCACTACGGATGCCGGATGAAGGGGCCTACGTGATGTATATTTGGGCTATTGTATTCGCACTTCTACGAATGGGCTCGACATCGTCGTCTCTCTCCAGATCAAAACCCCTATGTGCGATCACCGCACTTACCGGATTAGAACATGCGAGTTGATATGCGGAAAGAGTTGTTGCTGATGGGTGCCCAGTACTTTTCTCAAAACATCGACTGACGGAATAGAAGGTGTTCGGAAGAGATCGACGTATGCTCGCTACGCCTCGACCTCTATGAGCGTAAAGGGCAAGCATTGACCACCTTGTCATCGCATCCATGGCCAAAACATTCAGCCCCAGGGAAGGAGAGCTGAAGCATCTCCCGACGAGACGATATGATTTGAACAGTCTCTTGTTGGCTGTTTCCTCCATTGGTTGACGGTTGTGAATATCTCTACAAACCATGACTCGTCAGGAATATCACATCATCATACCTGTTTTGTCGCAATTTAGCACAGAGCTAGAAGCGGGAACAAAGATCAGCCATGTCGGAAGCCGAACAGAAACAAGAGAGTCCTCGTGTTTTGTTATTATTGCTTGAAGAATAGCATTGCACGACGAGGATTCAAGTCATCTTTGTGACAAAAAGAGAGGATGACAAAGCACTGCTGCCCGTTGCTTTTAGCCATTTGTGGCTGAAATAGTGACGACAATCCAAATTGGAATACTAACATCGGATCATGGTCAGAACGAAGGCCTCCTGTAAGCTCAGCAAAGTCTCCTGATTTAGCCAAAGTACGAGCCACCTACCATGGTATCGAAGAGCTCGACACTGACGTCTCAGACGCAATCCTACAGATAGCGATAGAGATTACAAAAGAGTATGCTGACAGCATTCATGCTATTCAGATGGAGAGGCTCGTTATAGAACGGCCAGACGAGTTGTATGACGCGTTTCGGGTTAAGACAGTGCTTATTTCTACGGATCTCAACAATGGCACAGCGCAGGATATTCAAGACGGGTCTACCGTTACTGTGCTGCCTGAGGGCCGTTTGAGAGCTGTGCGAAGCTGTAATACGGCTATCAGGCAGACATGACGTGGAGAATTGGGGAGAATCGGTCAATGAAGAATTTCAGGAGCTGGTAAATGAGTGGAGTGAAGCTTTGGAGGTATTGCGGGAGACGGGAATGATGGGGCTGCCGACTTCATTGGAGTAAAAGACGGTGCAGGGCTTGACTCCTTTTTGTACGTCGTGACGTTTAGTCTCTCTAGGTGGCCATCATATGGAGACCGGTTGAATACTATTAAATGATACATATCGGACAGCGGCGACCGAAGTGCAGCTACGACATCAGGACTTGAAGCTCTGCTACACCTCGTTTCAAAGATAATGAATGAACAAAAGCGCAAGACCGAGATAGAGCCCCCGATGCGGCGAGGCTCCGGCCTCCTCACAACTTTCCCCCAGCCAATCCCCTTCGAATATGATGGAATAAATAGCTGATCATCCTCAGATATTTGGATAGTGGATTCGGTCAAAGTTGAAGCAAGAAGAGGGCTTTACGGGTTCATCAACTACTAACGAGTTGAGCAGTGGACGCATTCTGAACGCCGCAACGGGGAGGACGAGCACGACAACGATAGAAATGGTCAGAGCTCGGCCCAAAATCACAGGTCTTGCCCTTGTCTTGGGATTGCTCTTTGGACTCGTTCTATCCCCTCTGTTGTAGTAGGATTCAGAGATTATGGGCATCTTGGAGCTGCGGTCATATTCGACCCAACTGCTAAGATCAGTTCTATCCATTGTGGAGTCTGGTATGTCACCTTTGTCACTGGTTCGTTGTACATCTCGTCGTATCAGCTCGCACTTTAAGTAAAGTATCCAATCCCACGGAAAACTGGATATGGCCCTGCTGTTGGAAGGTTAGGCTATCTAGTTTGCATTAGAAGAAGAAGGACTATGTACACGAGAACATGAAAACCTATGAGAGAAACTCTCACGCGCCCGGTAATTTCCTTCTTCGCCTATTTCTACCAGTACAAGCTCACGCCGGGATCTACACTACCACAACATCTGCAAGAGTTGAATGGAACCAGACCTGCCACTTTCCCATATCTAGCGGCATGATTCGTCTCACAAAAGATGGCCTTCAAACAGTCTTTTCATGAGGATGGGAATTGAACAGCTGGCAATTGCCCACAGATTATCGTACATGCGAAGAACCACATAAACACCGACCTCTTTGCCAGTCGCTGTCAGTAATAAAATCAATACACACGTAATTCTGCACGTCGCTAGCTTCTTCTTTTCTTTGTCACTCTTCAACTGCATGATTGGCCGTAGCAAGTGTTTGGGTTAGTGCTTAGGATCCTTCAGACTCCGTTAGTCGCAAAGCACCACGCTTTTTCTTTCCGGCTTCGAATCCCTCCCACAAACACTGCACAAGAAAGCCCAAATTCGGTCATGTCCAACAATAATTCTAAAGGCTGGAAAGACGTCAACCAAGACAGCTTCAGGTTCTACGACCCATCCACCAACGCCTTCATCTCATCCGCCCCCGAAAGCGTGCCCGCATTCCTGTCCGCTTCGTCTCTAGCGTACGACACCGACATGGACAATGACCTCCTCTGGCCCGAAGAGCAAGAAGGACAACAGCTGGGGCCGGAGAAGGTTGATGCGGCCAGGCAGCGTGTAGCGCCCCAGGCTACCTCTTGGGCGGAAGAGGTCGCGCGGGTTAGGGAAGCGGTGGGGATAGATGCTCAGAATCCGATCATAGAGCGACAGCTGTCGTATTTGCGTAGTCGTCCTTCAAGGTGGGTCTTATTTTTTTTGCGCCTCCCTGTCAGTGTTCTGTGTTGAGGGACTTCTTGGGCTTGATGAGCTGATGTCGACTGTCAGAGGTGTAGATTGGATGCGAGATGCATCAGAGTGGAACCGAAAGGTCGTCAGCGACTATCGAGACAGCCGCCCGAGTGTCAATCTCACCAATGTTGATGTTACGCAGCTTCGTTTCTGGAACGATCGTGCGAGGCTCGCGGCTTGGGCCATCAGCTGCGGTAATCTGGGCATCAGCGTACCGGACACAGTCATGGCGCGTATGAATGAAAGCAACGCCGATTTCAACGACAGCCTTTCAGAGCTAAACATAGAGGGGTTTCCGAATCTGAGGCCAAACGATTTAACAGAGGTCATGCCTATCAGGGCAATGATTGTATCCGTGGATCTCAACCAAGGCACACTTCGGGACATTCAGGAAGGCGCCCTTGAAGTTGTCACCGAGCAGCAGTTGGAGGAGACGCGAGTTGCCAATGCCACAATCAGAAGACTGTACTATCAAGAAGGATGGGCTGATCTCAATCCAGAGTTCCAGACGTTGGTTGGGTCGTGGAGTGAATCTTTGGAAGCGTTGCGAAGTGCCGGTATAACTGGGCTCCCGCCTGCGTTGTAGCCAATGATAGCTGGGTGCAGAATGAATCAAAGTCGCCCTGCACTGTGAAGGATCTGTGGGAGTTGAGGGTCGTGGGCGTTCCTCTTCCTCTTCTTGCTCTTCCTGCTCTTCCTGTGGAGGAGAGCTGTTCTGAGGAGGAGGAGGGTTCTGCTATGGAGGAAGAAGTCACTGTTGGCGACAGTCATTATGAATCGGCGGACCTTGCTTGATCAGCGGCCGACAAATGGGGAGGATCTGTATGTATATATATATGCAAAGCTGCCTTCAGGATATGCTGAGCGCAACGGTGGATGTCATGAGGCAGATTCTGCCAGGAGGGGAGGGGCGGCCCGCGTGGGAGCTTCGACGAGGCTTTGCGAGCTGCGCCGTATTTATCTCTCGCAGAGCCGATCTCCCCCCCGCAACTCCGCAAGCATGTCCATCGTACTAGCACATATGAGATAAGAAGATGTGCAGTGATATGCTGAAAGAGTTACCGCTAACGATCGTTCAGGACTACGCTCAGGACGGCGACTGCGTGAGGCGCGTGCGGCGTGCGTGCGCTGGTCAATCCCCGGCGGCCGAAGACCGCTGTTGCTATGGTATACATCTCTGCGATCTGCTGAATGACGAGCTGGGGGTTGCCCTTGTACGCAGGTCGCAGGCTACACCTGCCCCATTTTGTGCTTACCGAGATGCATTCCTGCGCCTCCGTGGCCTCCGTGTACACCCGGGTGCGGCGTATTGGCCAGGGAGTGGCGTGCGCGGGGCTCCTCTGCAACTTGACACGGCATTCGTCCGTTGTTATTTATATTCTCGTTTCTCCTGTCTCGCTTCTTTCCCTCCCCTGATACCCAGACAGCCCGATGCTCCTGTGCTCAGTGCTCGCGTCGGCGTCGGTTGAGGGGGGGGGAACGAGTGGCGGGGCCGACGAGGGACGAGAGGTGTGTGGGCAGACAGGGAGGCTATTTTGAGCTGATGCGTCTCCAGCTTCTCCACATCTCCCGCAAATGCACCCGTTTAGAACTTTGTATCCCTGCGCACAGGCCTTATCGCCACCCATCCTGTGGATTTGTAATATCTCCTCTCTCTTTCTAATCACCGTTAGAGGGTAAGAGACCCCTCGACCATCCTTTCCGACGGCGACCCGTATCCCCTTGTAGCATCCCTTCCCTCCCCTCCCCCGGCACACCCCCCACGATGTACTCTCCAATCCCCCCGCCCCTCCAACAACAATCCGGCTACCCACGCCGCTCCACCTCCTCCGCCGCCTCCCACGACTATACCGCTTTCGACCCCTACGGCCGCTCCAACGCCCTGTCCCCTGCGCCCTCCATTGCCAACAACCGCAATTCGATGGCATCCACCTATACCACGGGCTCGTCTATGGGTCCTTCCGCCGGCGGGCAGGGGATGGGCTCGGGCATGGGCGTGAGCGATGGGCTGCTGAGGGGACCGTTAATGCGGCAAGCGGGGGGGAACCCGCAAGCGCCATGTGATGATGAAGACGACCCCGACGACTATCTCCACGCCTTCACCCCCTCCGAGCTCGCGCGGCACAACGTCGATACGCCATTCATGCTCTTCTCCTGGCGAGGCTGGGCGAACATGTTTACGCTGTTCGTCATGGGCGCCGGGCTGGTCATGATCTTTGCAGGGTGGCCGATATTGAGTTGGTGGCAAGATACGTATGGGGGCACGACGAATTATAGTGCGACGGCGGGGTATAATATCGGAGGGATCAATGCGAGTGGGCAGTACCCCGAGATTGCGGGGTTGCCAAAGATGATTGATGATGATACGCCGAGCTGGGCGTATACGAGGGAGGGGCATGATGGGGGCGAGTGGCAGTTGGTCTTCTCGGACGAGTTTGAGAAGGAGGGAAGGACGTTCTTTGAAGGCGACGACCCTTTCTTTACTGCTGTGGACATTCACTACTGGGCTACCGGGTCCGTCTTCTCCTCTTCTTCCCCTTTCTCATCCCGCTGACATCTTCCACAGCGACTTTGAATGGCTCGACCCCTCCGCCGTGACCACCAAAGACGGCCACCTCGTCATGACCATGACCCAAGAACCCATCCACGATCTCAACTTCAAATCCGGCATGGTGCAATCCTGGAACAAGCTTTGCTTCAACAAGAATGCGTTCATAGAGGTGTCGGCGAGTTTCCCGGGGGTCTCTGATATTGGAGGGTTTTGGCCGGGGATATGGACGATGGGCAATTTGGGGAGGCCGGGGTATGGGGCTAGTACGCAAGGGCTTTGGCCGTACGTCCTCCTTCTCTTATTCTCGCCTCCTATTCTCGTCTCTGAAAGCACCCATTGACACGTTCCCGATAGATACTCGTACGACTCGTGCGACGTCGGCATCCTCGAAAACCAAACCTACACAAACGGCACGGGCCCCACCGCCGCCCTCAACACCGGCTCCAACTCTGGCCAACTCTCCGTCCTGCCCGGTATGCGCACGCCGTCATGTACGTGTGAGGGGGAAGACCACCCGGGGCCGAATGTGCGGGTGGGAAGGGCGGCGCCGGAGATTGATATTATTGAGGCGCAGATCGTTATTGTGGACGGGGTGGGGCAGGTTAGTCAGAGTTTGCAGTTGGCGCCTTGTACGTTGCTTCTTTCTTCCTTGATTCTTCGAGGGGTCGTGTTGGGAAGAGTGGGAGCTGATGGAGCATAGTCGACGATTATTACCAATACGACAACACGTCCGTCGAACAATACAACACCTCCATAACATCCTTCAACTCCTACCTCGGGGGCACATACCAACAAGCCGCTTCCTCCCTCACCACCGTCCCTTCCTCCATCTACTACAACCAAGACGACGTCGAGGGGTATGAGGGAGAGTCGGGGCAGTTTGCAATGTTTGGGTTGGAGTACCAGGCGTTCCCGGATGAGAGGGATAGGGGGTATATTACGTGGTATAGTGATAATAAGACGAGCTGGACGGTTTATGCGGATGCGATCAAGGAGAATACAAAGACGGAGGTGGGGAGGAGGATTATACCGGAGGAGCCTATGGCGCTGGTACGTCCTTTTCTTCTCCTTCTCCTTCTTTCTCTTCCTCTTCCCCTTCCCCTTCCTGTTTCTTCTTTCTCTTTCCTTCTCTCTTCAGTCCCATTATGGACTGCAGCTGACAAAAACAAAATATAGATCTTCAACCTCCACATGTCCAACAATTTCCAAAACGTCGACTTTAGCAACCTCAAATGGCCGAATTATCATCGGATCGACTATGTTCGGGTGTATCAGAAGGCGGATCGGATTAGTGTTACTTGTGATCCTGAAGGTGGGTTGTTTGTCTTGGGATTTGGGATTTGGGATGGTGGTTTTGGGGGATGGTGGGTGTGCTCGGGGGGCTCGGGGGGCTCGGGGGGCTTGGGGGGCTCGGTGTACTCGAAGGTCTCGGCGTACATGATTCTCTCGGTGCCCTCATTGTCCGCGCTGCGCTACCTCTCCAAGACTCGTGATCGCCAAACCAAAACCACCTTCTCTCCTTCTCCTTCTCCATCTCTCTTTCTTTCCTCTTTTTTTCTCTCCCTGTTCCCTCTCTCTATCTTCTATCGCGCACAAATAAAAGCTAACACATACGATTAGATTACCCCACAGCAGACTATATCGCCAACCACCTCAACGTGTACTCGAACCCGAATCTGACGACATGGGCGGAGGGGGGTTATGAGAATCCGAAGAATGCGTTGAAGGATGGGTGTTGAGCGTGTTGGTTTCTTGCTGTATTCTCGGGCTGGTGGGCGATGGGAGATGGGAGATGGACGGGATCGGGATCGGGGGCCGTATTTTGATACTGACTATTGTTTACGAAACCGGACTTTTGCTTGCCTTTTTTTTTTTCACGACCTTTCTTAGAATCATAGATACCCTGCACTGCATATTGCATTACCCTCTTTTGACCAATGGATACTCGTGTCATTGTATGATCTGATCTGCTTGGGGCGCTATACTTGTCATCATCGCGGTCGGCGAGGCATGCCGACAATATGCCGCCTTCTTGTCCGCGCGTGTCGGGACGTTGGTTGTGAATTAATAAAAAGGTGACGGTGCTTCCGATGCCCAGCGGGTGAAGCTCAGAGGACTCGTATGTGATATTCTTGGTGTCAGAATGATAATTATGGTAACTAATCCCCATAAGAATATCTTGATTCTTTAAAACCCTATCCCCGTCTAGATGACTATAATTATCCAACCCAACGGCTGTGCCGCTGGCATCATATAAGATGGAGTAGTAGATGGCAGCATGGAAGAGATCATTTAAAAGAAGGTTATATCCTACAGCCAAACACCTATACAAGATCTGCCAGAAATGAGCGACGATACACCAACAACAGCAGGTAATGACCTGATTCTGTTTTCAGTGGACGCGTTGGACACGGAAGCGTTTGTCAAGCGCTTGAGCACCGTGGCCCTTGGCTTTGCTCATTGCGAGAAAAAAAGTAATACTAGAAGGAGAGTCACATGAGACTTCAATGATCCTGTATCTACTTTTTTTTTTTATGACGACGGAACGACGGATGTAGGCGGCCGAGTTGCTGTCGGGCTTGGCACGTTGGGAAAGGTTTCCGTGACGCTTCACAGATGTCGGCAACGATTCGCATACTCGCCGACAGATGCCACAGAACATGCGGGGGCTCGACCTCTCCCTTGTTTCGATCACATGTCCACCAAATCGTCGGGCGCTCTCAGAGCATGCCAATGCGATCAATGCGATCAATGCAATTCATACACCACTCCTTCTCAGTCGTCCCCTTACACCATCGTCTACACGCTGACCCGAGGGCTTGCTATTTCTTGCTACGTTTCTTCTTTCCCATTTCGCTGCTCTGCCACCAGAGTTCACCAAACTGCTGTGCAAGAGCAGACCCTTCATCCAGCTCTGGATTATAGCTGGCCATGGACGAAGGCTGATTACTCATCGTCTCGCCGTACACTTGACCCATTATCTCCATCTCTTGCTGAGACGAAAGCGTCATGCTACTACCACCCCCGTACTGGGTGTCGTAGCCTCCATAGTACTGAAGCTGCTCGGGGGTCATGCTGTTGTAGAACTGCATCATTTGCTCGTTGGTCATAGTACCGGCCTGCTGAGAGGAGGAAGGTTCTCCCGAGGCTGCAGAGGGGTCTTAGGCTCCCGCTACGCCAAAGGCTTGGATGTGGGATTCAACGCGTTCGGCGTCTGTTTCTTGTTGCTGGACAGCCCTTTTGCCTCTGAGTGTGGCTTGATAACCATTGTCTATTGATGTTACGTGAGCACGCAGACGCCAACCTCACTAGGCTAGACTCGGAGAGGTCATGCAGTGTTATCAATATCAAATCAAAACATACTGATGGCGCGAACCCGCTCTTGATCGAGTTGACTCCTTTCCGACATCTTGATCTTCCTCCTACCCTTGCCCCATCCGCCACCCTCCCACATTTTCAGGTCTGGTAATGGGATTCGTTCGTATTGCGATACCGGCTGGCCATGTTCGTCCACTTCAGTCTTTGTTGATAAAAAAAAATGCAATAATTAATGTTAGCGACGTGACCATCACTCGGAGTTGACTGGATGATGGATGCAGTGTCGATGTATGAGCAGCGCAGGACGTACACTTTCACCGACGATTCGGAAACAAGTCCCCTTCTCGTCGATATAGTCCACTTCATCGATGGTTATGTCTGTCCCTGTATTACCGGTGCTCATCTTGTGCCGACTTTTTTTTGTGCAACTTTTCGTATGGAGCAGTAGAAAAGTATAGAAAACGATCATAGTAAGGTATGCTTACCGCTAACTCTTATACATCGTCATAGGAATGATGAACGTACTTTAAAGTCGGTATCTGAACAACCTGACGCTGATGAGAAAACCGTACGTGTCGGTGATACTCGTACTGTCAAAAGTATGATGCGACCTTCCTGGACCGGTTCCCACCGCTTCGTTTCACAAAGCTCATCGGCTACGGCGTTCACATATGAAATGGAAGCAAGAGTCCCGCGCTTTCACTTTCGTCCTTTCGTCCTTTCATCTGGCTATCCTATCAGGCTTTCTGCTGCTGGTAGTAACTGCACGGAGATGTTTGCCGGTCGATGATGAAAGGGAAAACATTTTTTTCTTGTGGGCTACTGCAGTAAATACCACCATTGCCCGGCAAGGTGAACAAACATGATTGTATCGTACTGTTCTGTACGAGTACTCGTACTTTACTGTACTTGTACATGACATCGTATTTCATATATATATATATATATAATATATATACAAACAACATCTCACTCTTTTCCGTATACGTGTACAGTACGAAAAAAGAAAAAATGTCGATAAATATAAGCAAAGTAAGAGCAAGTAAAGCAAGCAAGTGGACAGACAAACATTTCCCAAAAAAGACTAGGTCAAGATTAGTCCAAGATTGTGGGATCCGGGAGGATGGATGATGGACGGTAAATATAAAGGCAAAGAGATATGTAATGGGTTCTAGCACTGTAATCACCTAGCAGGCGGTGCTTTTTTGTTTCGTGCTAGGATAACATTGTCAGCGAAACAGAACGCAAAAAGACGATTGAAGGAGACTCGCAGGGTAAGGAGATCGACCACCCTACAGGATACATCCCACCGCCACCGCCAACCCCACCATCCCCCACCCCACGCTCCCACCCCCAAGCCCAAAGCGCATCAACCCCAAAGCCCCACTCGTCTCCCCCAACCCATCATCCCCCCCTCTCCCCTCCCGGCCCAGAGCATCCCAATCCTTATGCGCCGCATACGCCATCACCACAAACGCCTGCCCCTCGGGCGATCCTGAATCCGTGGCTTGGTGCGAAAAGTCGAGGGGGTTGACGGTTTGGGTGAGGAAGCCTGATGAGTTTACGTATGAGGATGCGGAGGAGAGGAGGGTTAGGGAGGTGTTTAGGTGGGTTGAGGAGATGTTGAGGGTGGAGAGGCGGCTGGTGAGGGGATCAGCTGGAGAAGAAATGGGGGAGACAAGAGGGAGAAGGGGGACGTACAGGCCGACGGCGGCGTAGAGGGCTGAGGCGGAAGTGTCTTCGAAACTGGAGTTGTCGGTAATGTAGTTTCTGAGGATACCGTTGCTCGTCTACGCTTTCTCGTCAGCTTCTCCTCCCCCTTCTTGGGAAACTTGACGCACGATATAAGGCGTCGTCGCGACGAAAATCTCATCAATCCAGTCTTCGAGATCGCTCATCTGACTCTCCAACTGATCCCTAAACCCCGACCAATAAAACGTCGCCCAAACCCTCAACATCCCCGCCATAGCCCACGCATTCCCCGTCGCCCAGTCCATCGCATCAGTCGTCCCCGACCCCCCCTCAATATGGTTCCAAAGCATGTTATCTTGCTGGAGGGCATCGCGGTAGAGGGAGATTTGGTCGTACGCTGTTCTGAGGAGGGTGAGGTTGGAGTGGAGGGAGGCGTAGTAGGCGAGGAAGGGGGGGACCATGTAGGCGCTGTCGGCCCAGAGTTGGGGTTGGTCGGCGCGGTGGGAGATGGCGCCGGAGGAGGTCTGTGCGGCGTCAGCTTTTTCTTCTTGGTCGAAGGGGAAAGGAGGGGAGGGAGGGAGGCTTACGCGGGGGACGTCGTAGAGGAGATAGTTGAGCTCTGCTTCCGCTGCTTCACTATACCCCACCCCATTCACCTGTGCATCCAAAGTACTAGCATTCGCCAGCAAGATGGTGATTCCCAAACTCGCCGGATCGCCGGCCGCGTCGTCTGACAACAACGTACTGCCGCCCCGGGCGGAAGCGGAATGGTTGGTCTCGGGGCGCTGTTGCATGGTGATCCTGGCGATATCGACGAGCTCGGGAATGTCGTCGTCCGAAAAGTCGGCAGGGAGGGGCAGGGGGGCGGAGCTGGAGAAGACCGAGTAGGCGGGGTAGGTGGCTTCGAGGATAGCTTGGGCTTTCGTGCCGTTCTCCCATCTTTCGCGGATGTAAGCTTGGCAACAGCAACAGCAAAAGGAGGAGGACGTACGAGTGGGTGGAGATTTGGTTCATGACATCGTACACCCTGCTCTGTAGGGAGTCGCTGAGATGCTCTGCCGAGACCAGGGGCAGGGCGAGGGACAGGGCGAGGAGGGCGGGGACGAGCATGGGATAGGAGAAGGGATGCAGAGAGGGCACAGATGAGGTTGTACGTATGTACCAGGGGTTGCTGCGAGCGATGACGTCTTGGCAATCTAGACAGCGCGGCCGAGAGCCGACGTGGTCTGGGCTGGGGTGTGGGGTGGGGTGGTGGAGGGCTGCGGGGTGGCTGGAGTATGGGAGAAGAGGGGTATTATAAGAGGCAAGAGCGGACGGATGTCCTCCACTTTCCATCCGCTCCTTTCATTTCGCATCCGTTGTCCCCGGTGACTGTGCTCTCGGCAGGGCACATGACGTGGCCTCCACTTCTTGGCGAATCATCCGTCCTCTGTTTGGTTCCTGATTCCTTCCATCCGTCCATTGCATATCCCAAGTATCTACATAGTCACGAATCCCTATTTAAAACAACCAGTCCACCTTCTCCCCCATCTTCATGCTACCCAGATCCCTACCCGACGTCTCCTTGTCCTCTTTGAGCCCGTTGGCGTACTTGTCATCGGGAGCAGCGGTGCGCCAGTGGAACATCTCTGTAAATTCGTCCGGCTTCTTCTCCAGCGCGTTCACCACATGCTACTTCCCCATCAGCCCCTTCCCTTTCCATCCCCCAACGGTGCCGTGCCACAAAATCGAGAGACGTAGACTTACTTTCCCAAGAACAGGCAAAAACTTGAACCCATGCCCACTCCCCCCACTAGCCACAAAAAGCCCCTCCCCATACCCCGGTACGTAATCCACCACAAAACTGTTATCCACACTGTCCGTGTACCAGCACATCCTCGTAGCGGCGATGCCGATGGAAGGGTCGGCGAGGTCGGGGAGGGCGAGGGCGATGATGTGTTTGATGAGCGCGAGCGCGCGGAGGGGGAGGTTGGTAGCTGGGGTGGGGGTGTAGGCTGTGCGGGGGGTGGAGAGTTCTCTGCTTTCTTGTTAGCTGTGGCTCCATGTAAGAAAATCAGTGGATGGGGAGAGTGACGTACTTGCCAGTCTTGGGGTTCACCTGGTAATTCGTCCATTTCCTTCCTCGATCTGATCCCCTCATTAGGACTTGTACTTTTTGCTTATTCTGGAGAGAGGGGAGAAAGGGAAGGGGACGTACAACCAATCTTGATTTTCCCCTCCTGCGTCCTGGGGAACCCATAGAAACCACCATACTCGGGCGACTCGTGTCCTGTCAGGCCGTATGCCCAGACGGGAAAGTTTTCGGGTGCGTACTGTCATTTCTTTGTTAGCTTGCTTCGACCTTCACACAAGGGAGGGAGGGAGGAGGGAGGAGGGAGGGAGGGAGGAGGGAGAAGGAGGAAGAGGAGGAGACACACCTTGTCCCAAAGATCTTGACGGTCCTCGGGCAATTGGACAGTGACCACACTCCCAGCCGTGGTTTCGAGGAGACCTTCGACTTCGGGTACGACAGAAGGTGTCCAGCCGCCGCCTATAGCAACATCAGCTTACTGCCTTTATGTCATGCCAAAGTGGCCAAGAGGGGGGGGAGGGAGAGAGGAGGGAGGGAGGACGTACAAGCGACGATGACAACATCCGCCAAATGCTCTTTCCCATCAACAGTCTTCAACCCTCTAACCTTCTTCTCCCCCCCCCCCCCCCCCCCAGCACCCCCAGCACCCCCAGCACCAGGCCCAGGCTCGTCGAACAACAACTCATCAAACTTGCCCTCCTCTGGCCCCAGCACAAACTTCACCCCAGCCTGTTCTGCGAGGAACCGGGCCCAGGCGCAGGATTTGTCGGCGTAAGTGAAGCCGGCGGAGGTGTCGAGGGTTGTTGCTAGGGGGTAGGGCCTGGGTTCGGAGGGGATTGCGGGGTGGGTTTCTGGGGTGGTGGTGGGGGAGGTGGAAGATGGGGTTGGGGTGGGGCTGGGGGTGGGGGGGAGAGGGGAAGTGAGGGGGGAGAGGGCTTGCGTTTTGCGGATCCAGTTTGAGGATGGGTCTTGTTTGTCGCTCTCTTCCAACCTCTTCATGTCCTCCTCTTCCGTCTACATCCTCGTCAATACCCTTTCCCCAAGATCACCAAAGCAGCAACGAGAAAAAGAAAAAAGACCCACCGAAACATGCTGATGCTCCCGCAACCCCGCCTCCCTCAACGCCTCCAGACAATCAGCATCATACGCCGACAAGCCCTGCCCATCGGAGATCCTCAGAAATCCCGAAGGCACGAATAGGGTGTCGGAAGGGGAGAGGCCGGGGGGGAGGAGGTGGGCGGGGGTGGAGGCGAGTTGGGCGTTCCAGGCGAGCCAGATGGGGCGGCCTGAGAATGCGAGGTCTTGGTATTCTGTTTCTTTCCCACTACCACCCCACCCCTATCATCAGCCCCTCTTCCCCTCTTCCCTTCTTCCCCTCTTCCCCTCGCCCCACCCACGGAAACGGAAAGAAAGAGACGTACTAGGAGCACCTGTAGACTTTGTTCACATCAGCGCTAGCAGCATCGCACCCCTCAGCAGGATTATAAGCGTTCAGGTGGTATGGCTGGTAGTCGTAGACGGTGACGTGCTTGTAGCCGCGCTGGGAGAGGTGGAGGGCGGTGGTGAGGCCGAATACGCCGGCGCCGATGATGGCGATGGTGGAGGAGGGGGAGGTCATCAGTGCACTTGCTTTGCGTTGCGTTGCTCTGGAGGAAGAGGAGTGGATGGGACAAGCGGGAGAGAGGGAGAGAGGGAGAGAGGGGGGTCGGCAATCTTCGTATAAGTAGCGAGAAGCTGGAGAAGCAAGAAGCACGAGCTGATAAGCGTCGATATCGGGCATCTCCGAGATCCGAAGATTCCCCGAGTCGCGGTCTCCAAATTTCGGGATGCCGGAGAGGATATCTTGATACAAGTCTGGATGTTATCTGGTTGATAGGTTTAGGTGGAGATTGGTGGAGCCGTGGAGAGATGGTCGTGGTAGTCCGGAATCCGGATGGTATGCATCACATGTTTGTCAATGAAGGCGAGCGGGGGAGCGGGCAGGAGGGGACGGCTCGGCTCGGCTGGGCGTCGATCGCGGTCGGTCTCTTATTTATGTACTCGCGTCCAACGGCGAGGATGGGGGGCTTCCAACAGCCTAGCTTGCATATGCCCCTTGCCGGCTGCTCGGGGGGATAGATGGCATGAGTAACGCCTATGCTCTGATGCTCCAAGTGAAAAGAAAGAGTCGGTTCTGCTGGGCGGTGCACGTACCCTAAGCAGGTTTTTACTATTCTCTCTCTCTGTCCGGCGGCGGAAGGCAAGCGGAAGGTCGATGATTGTTTTTCGCTGTTACTGGTACGGATCCGGCTTGCCAGCGCTCTCCTCGTCCAGAGGGTACTGCCAATTCCCCGAATCCCACCGTACTCCCCCCCTTGTACAAGCCCCAACAAGTCTTTTACACCCCCTGGCAACTTCTCTCCAGGTAAGATCTCATCTCGTTCCTCCAGATCACCATTAACCAGGGCCCCCAGCATGTCCACCTCCAACCAGATCCTCACCCGCTTCGCCTCCAACTACGACATCCTCTCCGACATCATTAGCTTTCTCCCGATATCCGACCTCCCCGCCGTCCTGTGCACTTGTTCCCTCTTTTTCTCGGTTGCTGCTCCCGCCCTATACCGCTCTATCCCCATTTCCCATACCTGCAACCCCTTCATCGTCGCAGACGAGGAAGAAGACAAGGAAGAAGACGAGGAATTATGGCACGAGACCACCAGCATCCACCCCCTCTCCCACGTCGAACAAGTCACTATCCAACCCCACCCCAACACCTTTGTAGACACATTCGACTGACACCCAAGCCCGCTCCACCCCCTGCCCACAGCCGGCTTTATCGCGCATATCTGCCGGAACGCTTCCCGCTTACATTAGGGGGGCCTCGAGGGAGTTACTGGCGGATTGGTATAGTGCTCCTGGGGACTTACCGCCTTTGCCCGGGGTGGAGAGTATGACAGTGAAGCTGAGAGTGTTGAGGAGTCGGGATGCGGTTTCGTTCTTGAACACTTGTTCTGCCAAAAGGGAGAACCTCTACCCGACATGCCAGAAGATCAACTTCTATCTCTGGAACGATATCATCCCTCATTACGACGCTTTCGACGACCCCGCCTCGCGCCCCATTAATGTACCCATGGTCTTGTTCTCGATACCGGAGGGGGATGGGGGACCGGCGGGAGGTGTAGTTGGAGATGAGAGGAGAAAGAGAAAGAGAAAGATAGACGTGCTCGCTGTCACATCCAGTTTCCGTTCCTGCCCACGTGGCAATCTCCATTCTCCCCTGCTGGTATGTCGTCTCTTCGTTCTCGACAACTTCTTGCACTGACGAGTATTTTTCCCCTGTGTCGATTACCCAATCATGGTCACAATGCATGCAGTACGCATGGATAAAAATAACTGTATAAACGTGCGGCGAGATGCAACAACGTCCCAACCTCTTGGTCTCAGCGTCTGCTTGCTCGGGACATCTCGTATAGATACTGAGCAGCGCTTTTGCCTAGTAGATGGTCAGCTCTTCGCTGTGTCATGACATGACACTTACCATCCGACCTCATCCATCGGTTGGTGGTGACTACTGGCGCCGAGACATTGCTGGTGGCTGGCTCCGCCTCATGCAGCTCTGACGCAGGGGTAGAAGCGACAGCAGCAGTTTCTCGGCCGTTTCTCTGTGCTTCTGCTGCCAGCCATTCCTTTAATTCTTCGTCAAACGTGGTATCAGCGTCTCCCTCAACTTCATCTGCCCAGTTGAACCCTGTTGGTGAAAGGAACAGTCAGTATGATCATTTGGAAAAGTGTATCAACTTACTGGACTTCCACGGGCGTGCTGTAGCTGTTTCTTGCTCCGCTTCTTTGCCCAAACTAAGAGAGGGCTCGATAATCTCTAGCGACTCATCAATCATCAAGGTCTGAACGCCTTCCTTGACCGTCGCTAGGGATGGTTCACTAGCAGCTCTAGGGAGCCTCCAAGACTTTTCGAGAGAGCTCTTCGCATGTGTCCTGTCCTTCTGAATCTCATTCAGCCAAGACTTTTTGGAGGCTTTACTGTCGAACGCTGGCTGGAAGGACTCATTGATCAAAGCGTTGATAGTTGCAAAATCGGACTGTGCTCTGCAATATCTTGATTGATCTTGTATGTCTTGAGTCTCCTGGCTGATCTGTTCGAGGCGGTCTCTGGCATCTGCCACTTTCTGCAGAATACGATCAGCTGCACTTTTAGTAAGATTCTCCCATTTCCTCTCTATATCGGTATAGCGAGATAGTGCAGTCGTCATTCGAGCACTCTTCAGTCTACTCTCTCGATCTCCTGTCAGGCTTCTCTTTTTGCTCTCGTAAAGGTCCAACAATTGCGACCTTGGAACGTCTTTGCTGTCGACTTGGTCGGCCTTTGCTTTCAGGAACGCATCTAGCTGCGACACGGCGTCGCTCTTGAGTGTAATTATATTTTTGACATGGGATTGCGCGGCCGAAGGACGATATGCGCTGATGTCTGAGGAGTACTCGAAAGTGTCCTGTAGCCTTTGAAGCTTTTGCTCTGTGAATTCGAGGGCTCTAGGCTGGAAGAGTATATCCTGAGGAATCCCATAGCCCGATAGTGTTGCTTATACACTGTGTCAGTCGACGCTCGTTCATCTACTGTGAAGTGGCCGCTTACCCACTGACTGCTGGCTCCCCTGTACCGCCTCCGCCTCCGCCTCCTCATTCATCTCCTGCTCGATTTGCACATAGTCCACCGGAAAACCAGTTATCTTTTTCCATCCGTCATCCAGCACAAACTTCTGATGGGCAACCTCCGCGAGTTTGTGTTCGAGATGTTCTTCCAAATCGCCGATTCTCGTCTCGTTGAAAGTGGTGTTGTCGTAGTATCCCGAATAATCATCGAGAAGGAAGGCCGCTTCGATCTTTTGAACCGCTTTCTCCGACTTTTTGGGCAATAGTGTATGTGATCGTTCTACTGCTTGTTCGAGCTGCGCCTTGTCATCTGGGTCCACTTGCCAGCCTGTCGATCCCATGTACGCGATAGATGACTCAGCTTCCGAAAGAGACTGATCCCAGAGTTTCTGCTTTTTGCTCCTGGCAGACGGAAGCGTCTCGGGATTGGCACTGTGCGCTTGACTCAAGTATGAATGTATCTGGTTGGCAATCTTTGGGAGTGTTGTCTCCATGACGAGATGGCTTCTCAATCCGTCTGCCATATGTCGCGCTCTTCCAAAGCCCAAAGCTTCCTTGAATTTAAAGTCATGTTCATGATCGTTGACGACAGAGACTTCGTGGAGGACATCTGCGAACGCGCTGATTGCCCCTTTGATCGTGTTCCCAGACTGGTCATTTCCCATGACATACATGCTTCTTCGAGCTTCCAAATTATCAGAGAGTTGATGAATACGTTTGGACCATTGACTGGCGGTGTTGGCGTCCCAGTTGTGGTAATGCGGGATCCTCTCGTCACCGCGTCCTTCACCAGGCTTTCTTATCCCAGCCATGAGCAAGAGTGACTCGGCATCATCGAGCGTCAAGACTTTGTAGTCCGTCTCGGGATCAGCCACAGGAGTCCCATCAGCCGATTTGATGCTTGCCAGCTGACTGAGAGCATCGGTGGTCTCGTCAATATGTCGCTTGCGCCTCTGGACGTCGATCAGGGCTCGAGCTCTGTTCTGAATTGCCGAAGAGGCGTAGTCTACCATGGTGTTAAGGCCACGCTGTTTCTCCTCTTGCGAGAACTTGCTGAGCTTTGACATGGTAGTATGATTGCGTCAATGATGACTTGTGGAACGGATTGAGAGGTGAAAAATATGGAGTGGGTTGGCATTTTGGCTGATAAGAGTTGCTCAACTTTTCCTTCTCCCCGACGGACAGCAGCATCGGGCTGCTAGGTAATGGGATCTTTTCAGTATGCCCCCGGCCGACATAATGGTAAGATGCTGATTCCAGATCCCGACAGAAACGAAGCAACAATCACAAGGTACATCTCGTGAAGAAAGAAGGTCCTCCGATCCATCATCCTTTGACACGTTCACTGTTTTCCCATATCATTAGCTCGCCATTTGAACTTCCTATGACTATACCAAAGGAAGGCGCGACCTAGGGGCGGTTGCGCGGTGGATCTAGCTATGGGCGCTAGACGTCGACCTGGGATAGGCGGATGGCGGTAGGATGGATAAAGGTGATGAGGAATATACGAGAATACATCGGTAGGGAAAAGGATACGGAGACGCGGCACGATATATATATATATATGTATGGGGACCTCATCTCGCAATCCCGCCTACCTGCTGCCTACGCATCCCTGAGACTATAGCGGCAACCCCAGTCACCGAACCCTGCGTTCAATAGTACATGTCACAACATATCCTCCTAGCCAGTCTGTACCAATCCCTTACACCGCTTCCTTATGTGATGATGAGCCTGGCCTTTCCCTGCCATTGTCTTTCTCACACGACCTGCTTCGCCAGCCCCAAGGTCTCTATACAGCACTACCTTCTCTGGATCCTGAAAACACCCCCGCCTGTATATAACGATCCCTTGCTGTTGTGACAGCTGCAGATAAGATAATGGCAGAATGCATGCTGCTAATAGGAGTATAGATAGTAAGATAAAAAAGTCGAAGAAGGACCTCGGCTCAAGGGGTAGCAAGCGATGTGGATACTAGATAGAGATATGAGTCCGTCTGGCCAGTCCAGCTGAATAATACACAATCAAATCGAAAAAAGAGATGTGAGAGAAACAAGATAAAGACAAGTCCGCAGCGTTACCTAGCAAGCAGCTTACTGCCCATAATCGGTACGCGCCTTCCACATGAGCGCCGCAAGCGCCTGAGCCTCGGGAGAGTGTGCTAATCATATTCATCTTCCCGTCAGTGAATTGCGCTGCGCGCACCCTACACCGGTTTTGTATCCAACAATATTTCTCCCCGGGAAATGAAGCAGAGTGATCCGATCCACAATTCATTACTGACGGATCAGGCAAGGATCAGGCCACGGGCCCACGGCTGGGGCGTCGTGAGTAGTGCGGTGATGGCCGCGAGCCAAATTCGGCTCCGGCCTCCGCCAGCGGAAACGCTACGGGCAAGCTACGGGCAAGCTCAGGGCAAGCTACATACAGGTACGTACCGTTCAAGGTCTCTATGTAATCTAATCACTAGCCCTCACGATACAGAATCGCTTCCTGCCCACCGCATATACGTCTTCTTGCGACCGCCATCTTCTTCTCTCAACCGTCCTTCGCTCCTTTCCCTCATGCCAGACGACACTCCCATCATGCACGGCCGATCTACCGACGCCGCCCTGCAGAGAAGGCTCCAAGCTCTTCCGCCTGAGCTCCTCCTAGTCATCATCCACTGGCTCTGCCTATCACCCACAATCGACACCCTCTGCGTTTCCCCTCGCTTTCTATAACCAAAGTGTACCGCACCTCTACGTCTACCAGCCAAAATTGAAGGCGGACAACGTCGAGGCGTTCTATGGTGAACTTTCGGACAGGCGGCGTGACAGACAGTATGAGGATCACCACAGGAAGATAGAATTCTACTTTCATCGCCAGGTGGTGCCGACATATGAGGTTGAGCTCAACGATTACATTCACCTCACGCCCTTCCTCAGTAAACTCTTTCTTCTCAAGCATGTCAAGACGCTGGCCATCGGCGATGATTCCACTCTTGATGAAACGTTTCGGGTGGCATCCCACTACCCCGATTATCTGAGATACGTCCGTCGCTGTATCTTCAAGACTCCCGAAATCAAGAAGCGTCTTGAGGCTGCTCTTTTTCAAGAGGTGGAAGACGTAGAGATTGAGATTGAGGATATCACGGAGATGAAGCTGCAATGGGCCTCAACGCTGAGCTCGAAATACATCTTTCCCAAGCTGAAAAACCTCATACTACACCTGTATTCGGACTTCCCTGTCGGAACGCTCGATTACAGGGTTTTGGTCAAGACGCTGCGCGTGTGTCATCTTCAGACACTTGCGATACATGGTTTGCCTCCAGATTCGTGCGCGAGATTTTCGGCGGATATGGGAGAGGAGGGAGCAAAGGTCATAGAGTTTCATCCCTGTTAGATACGAGGTGAGTTTTTTCGTTGCTCGGGATCGTATTTGGCTCAAATCGGCCCTTCGCAGTTGGCGGTGTTCCTTTCGGGCTCGGTCCAGGATAGCTTTGATTTATCAGATGGAATAAGATAGTATCTTGATGTCTGGCAGCCGTATCTGCTCACACAAAGGGTAGCTGCACGTGCTTCTTGTTCGGCGGTATGGGTTCTGGAGACATGTATCGCCAAGTGATGAGTCGTTCGATTCCCATAAAAATATAAATGTACCCATGGTCTTGTTCTCGTTCTGGCGGTATGATGGTATCGTATACGGCATAGCATGTAATTATACAACAACATGTACTCGTACTGTGCAATGTTTGTGCCACAGAGCCGGACGCGAAAAAGCGATGACATCACGCGACCACGCGCACAAGCCGTCCATTCGCGTCCCCGCCGCATTGTTTTTCTGACATCCACCTCTTTTCTCTCCAGAACTCATAAGTACAGCACCATGGGTCGAGAAATCATCAACGTATCGGGTAAGCACGCATGCCGGGATGGACGAGGGAATGGAGCTGACTGTGTCTTGTAGTGGGACAAGGTTTGTTTACGCTTGGATGGAGCATTTAAGTAGGGACTGATGTCGTGGGGTAGCTGGTAATCAGATTGGAAGTGCTTTCTGGTCAAATGTCCTTCAGGTATGCCTCTTCCCTCCCCACTGTCAATGAATATAATCTGATGGAAGTGCAGGAACATGGTCTTGACAGTAAGCCTGCGACTCTAAGCGGGTTTTGGAGGAGATGACTAATGTAATTTTCAAGATTCTGGACGAGCCACGAGCGATGACCCTCGTATCCTCGACAAGGGTACGTCTCTCCCCCCCCCCTCAGTCTTTTCACGGGGACGATTCTGACACATCCATCGCAGTCGATGTCTACTTTACCGAAGCGGCCAGCAAGAAATACGTCCCCCGTTCCATCCAAGTCGACCTCGAGCCCGGAGTAGTAGACTTGGTCAGGTCGGGACCGCTGAAGGAGCTGTTTAGGCCGGATACGTTCGTGCACGGCGAGAGTGGTGCGGGAAACAATTGGGCGAAGGGATACTATACCGAGGGTGAGTGGGGTTCTCTTTGATGGTTGTTGGAGGTAGAGGCATACTTTTGGGAGTGCAGCGCTCAGATGACGAGCGAAAAATGAGAAATACGGATAGCGCTGACATTTCCTAGGTGCCGAGCTCGTCGACCCCGTCCTCGACGTCCTGCGTCAACAAGCCGAGAACTCTGACTGTCTTCAAGGATTCCAAGTCCTCCACTGTACGTATCCACCCTCCCCATCGTATCAAACTGATGTGTCGCAGCTTTGGGCGGTGGTACCGGTTCCGGTCTCGGTGCTCTCCTCCTCGGCAAGATCCGCGAAGAATACCCCGACCGAATGCTCGCCACCTTCTCCGTCTTCCCTTCGCCCAAGGTGTCTGAGACCGTCGTTGAGCCTTACAATGCGGTACTTTCGACGCACAACTTGGTGGAGAACAGTGATATCACTTGTTGTATCGACGTGAGTCTGGCTTCCTGGTCACGGTGGCCCAGAGCTGATGGGGTTTCTAGAACGAAGCGCTGTACAACATCTGCACGGCCGACTTGAAGATTCCTATGCCGCAGTACCCAGACCTGAACGGGCTTATTGCCAAGGTCATGGCTGGTTTCACCAGTACGTTGTCTGAATTAGTTTGTGTACAAAACGCTGACTTTCCGTCTCTAGCTACCTTGCGATTGTGCGCTTGTCTAGTCCGTTACCCGTATAATTGAGCACTAATTCCTCTGTAGCCCTGGTGTCCTCAACTCGGACTTGCGAAAACTCGCCGTCAACATGGTACCCTTCCCCCGACTGCACTTCTTCACCGCCGGTTACGCCCCTCTCGTCGCTGGCGCCAACAAGAGCTACACTGTATGTCCTGTCTCAACTGAGAGTTCTTGCTATTGCTGATCCAAATGTAGTCTTCCAATGTCCACGAGCTCACCGCGGCCATCTTCCAGAAGCGCGCTCTCCTCGCTGCTGTTGACCCCGCTTTCGGCAAATATCTTACGGTCTCTGTCGCGTACCGAGGCAAGCTCAGTATGCGTGATAGTGAGTTCTCCCAGTCCCCAAGAGACAACATGCTGATGAGAATGATAGTCGAGAACGCCGTCTGGGACTTCCACAACAAGAACTCTGAACACTTTGTCCCCTGGATTCCCAACTCCTCCCTCACCACCCTCTGCGAAGTCCCGCCTCTCGGGCAAAAGGCCGCCGCCACCCTCGTCGCCAACACCACCTCCATCTCGGAAGTCTTCAAGCGCTCGCATGCGCAGTTCAGGAGTCTGTTTAGGAGGAGAGCGTTTACGCATTGGTACACTGGGGAGGGTATGGATGAGCAGGAGTTTACGGAAGCTGAGGCGAATTTGGCGGATCTGTGTATCGAGTATGATCAATGTGGGTTCTTCTTTTCGTCTTGCCATGAGGGGGTGCTGATAGACTCGTAGACGCAAACGCGGATCTCGAGGAGGAAGAGTACGAGGTGGAGGGAGAGTATGCGCAGGAAGGAGAGTATGAGCAGGAAGGCGTCGAGGGCGAACAGGTTTATGAGGAGTGATTGGCGTTTTGGGATACTCTGTTCTTGGTCTCGGTGCTGGAAATAATCTGTATATAGAGTAGTTTGTCTGCATAAAAAAAACCATGCAGAACGAGTCGCTTTTGAAGATGACTCGGTGGATTGCAGAAACGCTACTCGTGGTGGGGGCGGTTTAGTCTCTGGATCGTGGTCATATTCATGCATTCGTAGGCGATACTCCTGTCTGCCCGTACTCCAACAGTTGCTCATTTTCCGGATAGCGAAGTAAGCTACAGTCATCAGCAGGAGTCTCCGCCTCATAGGTCTTCAGACATCACCTTCTTCCATTTACATCTCACCAAGTCATCTTCGCTCGCGCCTGAAATCTCGCCGGTGACTGCGAAGGGGCAAATGAGCGAAACTCTCTGCGCAACAATAGACCTCACCTCGTAGCTAGCAGGGATGGCACTCTGTGACTTCGGCCGCATCTTCGAGAAGGTTGCGCAAGAATCCGGAGGCAAGACATGAATTGACAGCTTCTGGAGATGACATGCGCGCAGCGTTTTGACCATCGCTTTATAGACGAGGTTTGTGGAGGTGAACTTGGAAGGCAAGTACAAAGTGACATTCTTGAGCTTGGGAAAGACATCATCTGCTCTTAGCAGCGAGACCCGATCCCTACCCAGCCCTCCAGCCGTTTTTGGAGCTTGGTGGTGGCGGTAGGTTGTTGGCATGAGGGAAACGGCAGGGAAGAACAGGCGAAGTACCCGAGCATATGTGTTATTGCATGAGTAGGTTTTTGAGCAGCGTGACCTAACAGCGTTCCCGGTGGCGGTGTCATCACACACAGGAGTAGTTGACGTACACGCGGCGCTCGCCATTCACCCAGCTGTGGCCTGGCTGTGCCGTCAGTCTCTGCTGGTTTCATATCCCAGGAAAAATCTGTTGGATACAGAGCTGGGGCAGGAGCCGCGCAGTAGCATGTCCCACTGAGAGAAAGAAGAGTATAAGCAGTAAGCGAGCGAGAGCGGGCCGCGAAAGGTCGGGCAGAGGGTATTTTAACTTCCGGTGTTGTATAGGTCCGCGCATGTAGAGAGCTATTGAATGTAGTGTAAAGTTGGATTGGCTGATTGACATTATTGTAAATTACCTCAAATGAAGGCGCTTCAACGTATAGTTGCCGCATGACTCGTATGACCAACTACCACCCTTTGAGCGGCTTCCAGTCTTCGAGCGAGTTACTCGTACAATTGGCAGCAAGGTTTAGTCGGAGTCCGACGTTGCCTTCTTTGGGATGACATCTTGTCGGGTGGCGGGAGGTATTTGGGTATAGCAAGGGAAGGCTACAGATACGATTGCTCAAGCGGTGATAATGTCAGTCTGGAGCCGGTGATTCTATAACCATAGAGCGGGAGAATCAGAGGAGCTCAGCGGTATAGCGGAACTCGGTCGGTCGTCTGCTAGTGATCGATAGGCGCTCGGGCTACAGAGCGACCGAGAACCTCACGAGTAGGCTATAAAGTTTACGACACCCCCATTCTTCTGATGCCCAAAACATGTCCTCATCATACACATCATCATCCGTCAACACCCAGCTCGACTTTTCACCCGCCCCCTCGCGTCAGACCGTCTTGTCCAACATAGAGATCATCAGGCAGCGAAGTGAACAGAACCTGCCGACTTCTGTGGCGGACATTGACAGGGTATCATCACAATTGACAGCGATAACGACTGATTGGAGGAAAGATATGGCGCACATGTCGGTTTTGTTAAGCGCGAGAGAGAGGAACGCCAATGGCTAGTAGTGAGGGCTGTTATGGAAGGAAAAGATGAGATGCTGCTAGGTTGCATGAATTCTTGCTTTGGGCTTAGTGCTAGATGACTGACGACTGTCTCATCATCACTCATTATCTGTCTCCTTCGTATTGAACTCGTCGCTTTGATGATCCAAACTGCTTGGGGATCATTTCTGTCTGACAAGCTTTCATACATAAGTGTGATTATGTGCACTGTGCTTTGGCTAAGCTATGCTCCTTTCAACAACAGTGTCATCTGACTAGCAGGAGCGCCTCGACGAGCGGATGGAATTTCATCGACGACCCACTCTTGGCGTATGATACATTGATTGCCTTCTTTCAGTTGTAATAACTGAAGAAACTCTGATGGTCGTGTGCAACCAAAGTCCGACATACAGATCCGAGCTTAGCGCCATCTCACCCTTGTTCATCCAAGTGCAAGAAACACAAGTAGCACTCTGTTACCGGAGGAGACATATTACTGAAAGGTGGAGAAGAAAATGTAGCAGCACTCAATTCCCGTACTCCCCAGTAATGACAACATTCAACCTCGCCGATGTAAGGGTGAAGGTAGGTGGCGTAACCTATAGGCGGTTACGTGGTGGATCCAACTATGGGTGTTGGATATCGACCTGGGACAGGCGAGGTAAGGGAGGATGGATAAAGGTGATGAGGAATATACGGAAATACATCTATGAGGAAAAGGATATGAGACGCGGCAGGATGTATGTACGGGGAGCCTCCTCTCGCCTCCGCGCCTAACTCGTCCCTGAGAACATAGCGGCAACCCCAATACCAGACTCTGCGTTCCAACGTACACGTCACTACATCTCCTCCTACTGACCAGTCTGTACCAATCCCTTACAGCCGAAAGAAAGTTGAACGACGCGGCGGCGCCGGTTGTATAGCCCAAATCGACATGGCCGGTCGATGCTACTTGTGATGCTTGTACAAGTGAGGGCAGAAGGATGGGCGTTCGAGTTAAGTGATTCAACCACATTGATGGGCTTGGGGCGATGGGGGGCAGGACAACGGAGGAGGAAGCTCGTTGTGTCTTCAGGAGAGAGTACACGATTCCTTTGTACCATTTAGCATATGCCGTACCAGGCAATATGCTGCCAGGCGGGTCCCAGGCTGCACCTATGCACAGCATCGCAACAGACAGCAAGTTGGATGAAAGGGAAGATGAGCGCATGTGAGACTAGGCGGCGCACCCCGCTGCCCCTAAAAATAGCTCGCTTAAGTCTTGGCTGCCGATGACTGAATTCGTTCATCGCCACACAACTGAAACTTGTGCTTCTCACTTCAAATTCGACTTTCCTTTTCTATCTACTTTATTTCTCTTTCTTTCTTCTTCCATCTCATCTACCTATTCACCCCCATCAAATGGTCCATGATACCAGCGAACCTCCCCCTCCCCCCGATATATGTGACTCACGCCCCTACTCGAACCAAATATCGGCTTTCACCGCAGCCCGCTCCACCACCTCAGTAATCCACAGCGACCCCTACTCTGCGGACGGCAAAGACGGAGATCATAGTACCTTCACTCTCCTTTCTACTTCCAACATTCAGCAATATGGCCGCCAGCAAAGCTCTCAGCCCAAGCGTATGGCCCGTGGGGCCTTTGCGCCGCTTGCCCTTGTCTTCCTCCTCGCGCTCGCGTTCCTCCCTATCGCTTCCGCCACCGGCTCCGAGGTAGACCCGTATACGTCCTACCCCCCGATGAAGGCTACTCCACTTCTCTCATCCCTCGCCTGGGTTTACAACCACGCCGTCTCGGCCTTGGGTATTGACCCTGCCGTCATTGCTGCTCATGCCGGCAACACGAAGAGGAGTCTGGACAAGACTGGTATCGTGGAGGCGTGTATGATCCCTGTTTTGGTGCTGTTGAGTGGTATGTTTGCGGGGTTGACACTTGGGTGAGTTGATCGTTATTCTGCCTCCCTTTGTCCGAAGGACGTCCGCAAAAAGAAAATCCGAACTGACTCGTTTCAGATACTTTTCCGTTGATCCCACTCAGCTTCAAGTCTTGTCTATCTCTGGTACAGCCAAGCAGCAGGAATATGCCAGGCTCATCATGCCCGTCCGGTAAGCCTCTCCATGTCGTGTAAGATGAGAGCTGACCGTTTGGCAGCAAGGACTCGCATTTGCTCCTCACCACCCTGATTCTCGGTAACATGATTGTCAACGAGGCTCTTCCTGTGGTTGCCGATGGCGTTTTGGGCGGAGGTATTGTTGCTGTCGTGATCAGTACTGCCTTGGTCGTCATGTGAGTCGCTTTCTGCACATGTGATGTCTCGTCTGACGTCTTATCAGCTTTGCCGAAATCATCCCCCAATCCATCTGCTCTCGATACGGTCTCCTCATCGGTGCGCGTATGGCCAAGATCGTCCGAGTCATGATCTGGATCGCCTTCCCCATCGCATGGCCTATCGCCAAACTCCTCGAGTACATCCTTGGTGCTCATCACGGTATCATCTATCGCCGATCAGAGCTTCAAGAGCTTATCAAGATGCACGCCGCCTCTGGCGAAGGGGGCGGTGATCTTGATTTCGATACTGTTCAGATCACACAAGGTGCTTTGAACCTCGCGAAAAAGTCGGTCAAGGAAGCCATGACGCCTATCGACGAGGTCTTTATGCTCCCTATCGAGGCAAAGCTCGACTATGAGACTCTTGGGCAAGTCGTCCGCTCTGGTCATTCCCGTATCCCCGTCTATCAGACGGTCGAAGTCCCCGATATCAACTTTGCTGCTCCCTCTGTCGGTCCCGCCAAGACCAAGATGGTCAAAAAGGTCATGGGCAGTTTGCTCGTCAAGAGCTGTGTCTTGCTCGATCCCGAAGACGCTACTCCTCTCGCTTCTATTCCTATCAACACCATCCCCACTATTCCCTTCGACGAGCCTCTCACCAACATGCTCAATGTCTTCCAAGAAGGTCGCTCGCATATGGCTATCGTCTCGCGCCGCGCCAAGAGGGTCGAACCGGAGATTGAGGACGCCCAGTCAGTCATGACTGCCGCTGCCGGCGGTCTGAGGGAAAAGTTTATGCGAAAGATGGGTATGGGAGGTTCCGACTCGGAGTCTTCCGACGACGAAGTCGATGTGGAGAAGGGCGAGAAGAAGAAGAAGAGGCGGATGAGCAAGAGCAAGAAGAGACGTGGAAGTGGCAGCTCTACCGATGAAACTGCCGTCGGCCCTACTCCTGAAACCGCCCCCGCTACCGAAGCTTCCGAGATCAAGCGAAAGGCACAGGACGAAGAGCTCAAGAAGCAAAAGTCTCGCGAGGGCAAGGAGAAGAAGGGCTCGTTGGTGCAGGCGGCCAAGTTGACTCAGCTTGAGCAGACTGTGCCGGCTGATGCTCAGATGTCGAATCAGGCGGTGGAAAAGTTCTTTGATGGGTTGGAGGGTGCGCCTTTGGGTATCATTACGCTTGAGGATGTGTTGGAGGAGCTTATCGGCGAGGAGATTTACGATGAGTGAGTATTTCTGCTTCACTTGTTGATCAATGCTGATATTGGGTAGGTACGACCAACACGGCGCTCCCCTCTCTGCCGCTTCCGCCTTTGTCCCCCGTGAAGCCATGCTCGCCGCTCGCAAAGCGACTCTTGCCCGTCAACAACTCGCCGTCGCCCAGTCTACCCCTCTCCCTCCTACCAACGACGCCGACATTGAAACCGCCGCGCCAGCTCCCAAGGGACGGGTCATGGGCAAGCTTCCGGCATTGAGCAAGTTTTCGTTGAAGAAGCCGTTGAGTCAGCCAGGACGGGCGAGGACGTTGGATGTTACCACTACCCCCAGTGGTACTCCGCCGCCTTCTGCTGCAGGCGTGGTAGCTACGCCCGCGGAAGAAAAGGCGTCGTTCGCAAGGGGTACTGTCGCAAGTCCCGCCGAGATCGAGGACAAGCCTGCTCGAAGATCGTCTGCTCCATTCGACACCGCCGAAACCGCTACCGCCGTACCCGCCCGACTCCTCCCTGGTTCCACCACCGCCACCACCCCGGCCCCTCAGCCCAAGCTCCTCAACGAAGCGTTGTTGATTGAGCGAGAGAGGAGGAGGTTGGGCACGGCTTCGCAGCCGACGGCGCATAGGAGTGTGAGTGCTGGGCCCGGGGGGTCAAGGCAGGCGACGCCGCCTATGGCGGGTGAGGCGAGGTTGGCTCCGCCCGTCTCTGGTGCGGGTGCTTCTACTTCTGGACAAGGTGTCGTCTCTCCCCAGCCGCATTATGCGGGGAAGAAGGTGCCCAAGTTTAAGAGTGTGCCTACGCCCATTGGGACTCCGCCTATCGCCGAGAAGAAGAGGTCCGACAAGGAGTGATTTTTGTTGTATGATATATAGGGTTTAGTCTGTCTATATTTAGTAGCATCATTCGCGATTACATATGCATATACGTACACGATACTTGACGCTTTGATCACTATTTCTCGTTCAGTTTGGGATGTGGTATCATCAAGCTTCGTCGAGTGTTCCCAAAAGTCTCGAGTGTTCAACGAAACCCAAGACTGGATGCATTTCTAGATGATGATATGATGGTGATACAATTGTAGATGCGACGACGCCTCTATACGACGCCGCTCAAAATCCCCTTCCAATCCTCATTCAACCCCTCCCTCACTTTCCACCCCTCCCCACTCTTCCACCCCTCCTCCTCCCTCCCCTCCTCCGCCAACCACTCCCGAACCATCGCCTCTTCCCCTTCCTCCGGCATATCGAGAATATCAACTCTGCCCTTGCCTTCCAAGGCGAGGGCGGCCCAGCCGACGACGATCATACCTGGTGGGCGCTCGTCGAGCTCGGCGAGGGAGGGGGCGATACGGGAGAGTGTTGAGAGGGTTAGGCGTTGGTCGGGGGAAGAGGCGCGTTCGATGATGGCTATAGGCAAGTGCGGCGGGAACGCTGCGCCGTCTCGGCCGGGGGAGTCGGGGGAGAGGAGGGTATCGACGATTTGCTGGATCCTCGCGACGCCCATCAACAACACCAGCGTCCTACTCCTTACATAACCTGGGAGTTGGACAGCACGCCCTTGACGGCCGACTCCGGTACAGAGGATGAGCGACTCGGCAACACCACGTTGGGTGACGGGAATGTTCATCATGAGCGGGGCCGCGAGCGCTGACGATATCCCCGGTATGACGGTCGACTCGAACCCATGTTTCCTGAAAAACAGTACCTCCTCCCCACCCCTCCCGTAGACGAATGGATCACCCTGCTTCAGCCGGACCACCGTCTCGCCCCGAAGGGCCCCTTCGAGGGCGAGCTGCATCATCTCGTTTTGCGCCCCCTCCGCATTGCCCGGAAACTTTTTGGCGACGTGCACTTTGACGGAGGGGGGGATGAGGGCGAGGATCTGGGAGGGGACGAGTTTGTCGGAGAGGATGAGGGTGGAGGTGGTTAGGGCGTGGTGGGCGGAGAGCGTGAGGAGGGAGGGGTGGCCGGGGCCGGAGCCTACGAGGAGGATACGGCCTTTCTTCACAGGCTTCTCTTCCTCCCCTTCTTGACTTTGGGAGAGTCTGTCGGAAGGGAGGTGATGCGGCAGTTCACCGCCATAATCTTTCTCCCCCCAAATCTCCAACGCTTTATCCATCTCATCTTCCGACATTCTCGCGAGGTGCTCGAAAGAGTAATATTCACTCATCTGGTATACCCAACGCATCCTTCTGAGCTGCTGCTCCGACTCTGATAAAAGGGCTTTGGGGAAGGGGGCGGAGGAGGAGGAGTGGATGGAGGAGGAGGGGGATAGGGAGCGGGTCGGGATTTGGGGGACGGGCGAGTTTAGGGGGCCTTCTTGGTTCTCCAACGAAGGCAGGTCAAGGGGGAGTAGGTCGCGTTTCGAAAACGCTTTCGCCTTCTCCCTCAACCGCCCAACATTATCAACCGCCCTACCAACCTCCTGCCCAAGACTACTAACCACCTCTCTTCTTATCCTGCCCGACATCCTGCACCCAAGGCCGCCGGAAGAGACAGAGATGGTCAAAGCGGAGGGGGTGGAGGGGTGGTGGGAGGGGAAGCGGTGGGTGGAGGGGAAGGTGTAGGTGGAGAGGTTGGGGGAGTCGGAGGTGTTTAGGGGGATGTGGAGGGAGAGGCAGGCGTTGTGGATTTGGGAGACGGGAGAGGGCGAAGAAGGAGAGGGGGTGGAAGGGGAGATGAGGGTTGAAGTGACGCAAGCCAAAGCGACATCCTTCTCCTCCAAATACTCTCTCCACTCTCTCTCTGTCCCCAACTCTTTCCTCTCATACTCCACCTTCCCACCCTCCACCAGCACCTGAACCTCCTTCGCACAGTCGACGAGAGGGAGGGGGGAGGTGATGTGGACGAGGGCACCGGCAGAGAGGAAGGTGGTGGCGCGGGAAGCGGCGAGTTTGTTGGAGCCGATGATGAGGGTGGGGAGGTTGTGGGGGTGGAATGTGAGGGGGAGGGTGTGGGTTGGGTTTGGGTCTTGCCTCTGAGTGAGAGCGGGTTTTCCTTTCTTGGTCAACCCGGCCTTGGTCAACCCGGCAGGAGTGGGGACAAGAAGGGAAGGAGAAGGAGCAGAAGGGTGTTGGGCGATGGAGTCGCGTTGGAGGGCGGAGAGGATGTGGGAGCCGAGAGCGAGGGTGATAAGTCCCGGGAAGACAATCCATGAGCACTATCGAACGGTAAGCAGAGACACAAGCAAGTGTAGGAGGGAGAGACTTACGTTAGGGATAACCCACATACACCAGAACGTCCATCGATCATTATGTCCCACATTACACCACCCGCAAAGATATTCTGCCCCCATAGTCAGCTTCAAATCCCAAATCAAAAAAGGCAGACAAACCTTGCAAGATGTAGAGGACAGTCTTGGACCACGTCATGAGCGCAGAAGCGAACCCGACGAGCAGGGCGGAAGAGTGGTATGGCGCGGAGGAGTGCCGGGGGGAGGAGTGGCGGAGGTAGAGGTAGATGACGGCGAGGGTGACTTCGAGCAAGTTCAGCGTGGCTGGAGGATGGTCAGCGGGGTTCCGTGGGAAGAGTGGAGAGGGGCGTACCTTGGGCAGCGGTGAAGCCGTCGCCTTCGTTGTAGGCTTTCCAGCCGTAGATGTAGTCGATCTGCGACGGGTCAGTGATAATCAGGTGGGGAGCGGTTTGACAAACCTCGCCATAGTTGTTGTCGCTATACAAGAGTCAGCTTGAGAGAAGGCAAGCTGGAGGGGACTTGCATGTACGGCTTCCATATCCAGGCGAGGTCGCCGCCTGCAAAGCTCCTAGGGCGACAGAGGCAATAGGCGACATCTGTGCATGTTAGTGATGGGCAAGCACGGAGCTGGGTACTTACCCCATGCGACGACTATGGAGGCTGCAGCCATCCAGAGGGATATCCAGTTCGAGGGGGGCATCGTCGTAGATGAAGAAGGGGAGATGGGATATGCCCTGTTTTTGCTTGGTGGACACTTTGCCCGAAATTTCAGCGATCACGCAAACCCGGCAACCCGAGCGAGTGTCCGAATACCGTATTTGGAATACATTTAATTTGCTTCCGCTGATCCCTAGGAAGTTAGGAACAATCTGATCGAGCACGTGTACGTATGCTTGTTGCTTTTTCGACGCGTCTTTGACTTTTCTTGACTTTTCCCCTCGCGCACTAGCTGGCAGCATGGCGCACTACCAGCAGCTCGCAACCTCCCCCTCCCACCCAGACGCCGAAGAGCAGTACTTCCCGCCCCCCAAACCCACCCCCTTCCGCCACCGCCTCCGCCTCCTCCTCCCCCTCGTCCCCATCGCCGCCCTCTCCCTCATCGCCCTCGCCCTCCTCCCCTCTTCCACCGACCTCCTCTCCCCCCAGACCCTCGCCCCCCATCCGTCAGAGAACGAGCACTTTTTCACAGGCGATATATGGGCGCACAACGACCTCGTCGCCGCCAAGCTCGAGCGGTGCGCGTCTCTCGGCTTGCTCCGCAACACCTCCCGGCCTTTACACCAGCGCCTCAGCGACGAAGAAGAGCTGGAATTGCAGAGGGAGGGGTGCGGGACGAATGAGACGACGGTGGTGATCCTCTCTTCGCTCTGGTTTGCAGAGTCGTTCCAGGGACATTCACCGACGGGCGAGACGGTATATGCGCAGAGCATCATTTCGTCCCTCAATGCGTTGGGATATTCGTACTTTTTCTCGTCGTTAGGGTGGTGGAACTCGGATATGCGCAAAACGACGGAGCTATGGCACAAGTATGGGGGGAATGTGAGGATGGTGATTTCTGATCCGGGGCAGTTGGATTTGTGCTGGAATGATGAGGGGCAGAAGTGTTTAAAGACGGAGGAGAACCCGGAGGGGATACCTGCTTGGCGCATGCTCGCTTTCTGGTACTGGGACACGTAAGCCTCCTTCTCTTCTTCTTCTTCTACCAAAGCTAACCAAGAAGCAGCCCCGGAAACCCCCTCGGCCCAAAATTTACATTGTCACCATCACCCCTCAACGACAACTTTTTCCTCTCCTACTCTATTGAACCCACCTGCCTCCGCCTCCCCTTCATCCCCCACTCTTCCCGCCCTAAACCCCCACAAGCATACCTCCTAGCCAAACAGATCGACTACCTCTCCCCTTTCTCCCATAACGACCGTGACCCGTACGCGCAATTCGCTTGGACACTCCCCTTCCTCTCCGGCCTCCAGGAAGAGTTCAATATAAGTGTGGTGGGCGGGATGAGGGATGATAATGAGACGATGAGGGGGTTGGTGGAAGAGAGTGGGATAAGGAATCTGGGAGAGTTGGGGGTTGTGGAGTTTTATGAACAGTTGGCGGAGAGTTTTGTGCTTGTGGGGGTGGGACAGCCGAGGATTAGTCCGAGTCCTTGGGATGCGCTTTGTATGGGTGTGCCCGTGAGTCCCTTCTCTTTCTTTTGCTTCTGATTGACTGTGGGGGTGGGGGGAGGCTGATAAGGGTGTAGTTTATAAACCCGATTTTGGCGTGGGATGAACAAGATCCGGAGAATAGGACAAAGTGGCATACTCAGCAGTGGCATATGACGCATATGGATCCGTGCGTCCTTCTCCTTTCCCTTTCCCCTCCCCTTCCCTTCCTCTCCTTCCTCGCCCCCTCTCATACCAACACTGACATAAAATAGCCCATATGTCTACCCCACCCAAGCGCACAACCTCTCAGCCCTATCCCTCTCCATCCAACAAGCGCTAGAGAATCCATTGGAAGAGCGGTATATACCGGAACACATGACGTTTGGGTGGGTGAAGGGGAGGATGGGGGAGGTGGTTGAGGGGGATTGGGAGGGGCGGGGGAGGGAGGTGTTGGATGAATGGATTGGGGGGGGGAGTGGGGAGGGGAAGGTTTTTGTCATGTAGTGGCGGGGGTTGGAGGCGGATTTTGGGGCTCTTGGTATCTTGGGCTCTTTGTGATTACTTTATCTCTTGTCCGATTTCCCGGTGTTTATGGTTGTCTCTATTTTTCAATCATCCTTGCCTGACCGGCCCACTCTGTCCTTCTCTTGTTCTTCCTTTTCTTGTTTATTTGGGCTTTTTTTTGTGTATGTTTTTCTTTGGGACTTTGGGCGGGGCTTGGGTCTTATGCATTTGTGTTGTATATCTTGCGCTTTCTTGGGATGGAGTACTGGGAGAATGGGGTTTGTGTTTGAACAAAACAGCATGGGCTGGGGTGATGATGATTGGTCGGTGTCGGCCACAGCAAGAAAGAGGAGTAACACTTTTCTTCTGGGCACTGTTTATTTGTCTATTTGAGGGATAGACTCGGCAGGAGGGGGACGTGGAGGGTCATACTCGGATCCTGTATTGTATAGAATTGCCCCTCGATGGTTGATGGTTTTGGGTGTCATCTCCGTCGACAATGTCAGAAGCCTTCTTTGGTGATTGTTTCTTTGACCCGCTGATCGTAGTAACCAGTCAAACAAACGCTTTCTGGTGAGTATACTGTGAGCATTCTCTGCGCTGCTTATACTTCTCGCTGCGTCTTCTGGACAATGGAAGCGGAATCTCACAAGCGCGTAGGAGGCGACTACAAAGGGCGCCGGAGATAGCGCATTCGACTTTGGACAAAGAGAGGCTGGTTGGGGTAGGCGGATAAAGCAGTGGGAATCGACAGAAACTTGAGGGGGTTTGTCTGATTACGAGTACCTTGGGAAGCTGCTATGGCCTCGCGGGGTATAGATGATCATGAGCAGCTCAGCTCCATCCGCCAGCGAGGTACGAGTACAGTCTGTTTTACGAGGTCATCCTACCTGCGCTAGGCCAGCTGACGCTTCATGACACCGCCAGGTCGGCGAAAAGCGTTAGAACGTGCAGCCAAAGAACTAGAAGGACAAGCTACACGACTCGGGAAAGTCGATGGAAGCTACGAATATGGAGAACATGGAAAGCCATGACATGTGACAGTATACAGACAGACAGGCCGGATAAGAAGATTTTTATTGTCATAAGATAGACGTAAGAATATTGTTCCGGATGGCGTAGTGTAGGTCAATGTTTGAAGAAACACCGCTATCTCCATCCGGGTAAGGAAGTACCATGTTGTCAGCAGGAGGGAGGAGTAACTGCCGATATACGCCCTCTTTTCATCGTCCGGCCGGTCGTTGAAAGATGTATCAATCATGTAAAGGAGCTTACACAAGAAAGCGTCGGTACTTGTCGGAGAGTTGATGAACTACTCGATCAAAGGATCGATGTTGATCCACGACAGGGTACATAAGGGGTTACACGGAGTTGTCGGTGCAGGACCACATACCTCTATACTATATCATTGCGACAATATGAGCAGCTCTCAACAATCTTATCAGGACACCTCCAGTCAACACACTGTATGTCCCGTTCTGTCCTCCACCGCCTCCTCGCGCTCTCGCTCTGACAATACACTATTGCAGGACGGCGCAGCCGACTCTTCTGCGTCCAAGCCAAGTCGAGGTGCGCCGAGCAAGCAGAGTGAGTCTATATTCCTGTTGAGCGAATGTCAAGCAGAGGTCGTTACGCTGTTTGATTTTATTGGCTGACGTTGTTGGTGCTAGGTCAGGTCGACAAGGCCATGACGAGGCGACGAAAAAGTGTGACGTTCTCCGCTTTTTTCAAGCCTACGGCTAGGTAATGGTGAGCTGACTTTTGCGATAGATCGTGAATGTGCGCGTCGATTCAGAGAAGGCCAAGCAACCAAAGCGCGAGATTTAGAAACCAAAATTACGGAACTCGAGTCGAAGACCCATGAGACGCATGCAGAGAATGCCGAGTTGAGGAGTGTTATCGCGAGTTTGCGCTCTGAAATCTGGTCGATACAAGAAGAGATGGAGGGTGAGATGGTAGAGGACGATGAGGACGACTGGCGTGCTTGAGGTGTGAATCATCTGTCGACATCGAGGAGGTGATCAACGTCGCCGTATGGATGTTGAGGATGACTGGCGTGCTTGAGGGGTATATATCGTCTTGACGTGAGGGAGGTCGGCGAATGCATTGGATCAGCGGATGCACCTATGAAAAAGACTTTTCTACATTGCTTCACACAACATACATGTCTTAATTCGCATGGACACCGGCCCTTCTTGTCGTAGTAAGCATAGCCCATACTTCTTCCTCATCCAAGCCATCTATCTCGAAGTGAGGGCACATGAAACGAAAGACTACGAACAGAAGTCGTGGAGAGCCATGACATGTGGCAGACAGCCCGAATAAGAAGATTTTTGTTGTCATAACATAGACGTAAAAAGATTGTTCAGGATGGCGTAGTGTAGTTCAATGTTTGAAGATACACCGCTATCTCCGTCCGGATAAGGACGTATGATGTTGTCAGCAGGAGGGAGGAGCAAAAGAACAGCGGGGACAAACCCTCTTTTCATCGTCCGGCCTTTCACTAAAAGATGTATAAATCGTTCAAAGGAGCTTCACAAGGAAGCGTCGGTACTTGTCAGACCACTATCTACATCCGGGTAAGGAAGTACGATGTCGTTAGCAGGAGGGAGGAGCAAAAGCACAGCGGATACACACCCTCTTTTCATCGTCCGGCCGGTCATCAAAAGATCTCTCAATCGTTTAAAGGAGCTTACACAAGGAAGCGTCGGCACTTGTCAGTGAGTTGATGAACTACTCGATCAAAGGGTCGATGTTGATCCACAACAGGGTACATAAGGGGTTACACGGAGTTGTCGGTGCAGTACCACATACCTCTATACTATATCATTGCGACAATATGAGCAGCTCTCAACAATCTTACCAGGACACCTCCAGTCAACACACTGTATGTCCCGTTCTGTCTTCCACCGCCTCGCGCTCTCGCTCTGACAATACACTATTGCAGGACGGCGCAGCCGACTCTTCTGCGTCCAAGCCAAGACGAGGTGCACCGAGGAAGCAGAGTGAGTCTATATTTCTGTTGAGCGAATGTCAAGCAGAGGTCGTTACGTTGTTTGATTGTATTGGCTGACGTTGTTGGTGCTAGGTATGGACGAGTCGGTCACGAGGAAGCGACGAATAGGTTTGACTTTCTCCACTTTTTCAAGCCTACGGCTAGATAATGGTGATCTGATTTTGCGATAGCTCGTGAAAAAGTCAATCGACACAATGCAGGCAAAGCAGCCAGAACGCAAGATTTAGAAACCCAAATTACGGAACTCGAGTCGAAGACCGACGCGACGAATACAGAGAATGCCGAGTTGAGGAGTGTTATCGCGAGTTTGCGCTCTGAAATCTGGTCGATACAAGAAGAGATGGATGGTGAGATGGTGGAGGATGATGAGGGCGACTGGCGTGTTTGAGGAGGAAATCCCTGTCGACATCGAGGAGGTGATCAACATCGCCGTATGCTCTTAGTTGAATGTGATGACAATATGACCGGTGCCCTCTTCATCGTCTTCCCATGAACCACTACTCTTGTCTACCGATTCTTCTCCAAGACTTCACACTCCAATATGACCGGCTTCACCCAACAGAAAGATGACACTTCGGCGGTCTTTATGTGCTGAGCATTATTGTCGCACGTATCAGTTGTGAGAGAGATCAAGTGGTGCTTATTGGTGCCTTCAATGTGTCTGAAAGGGTAGGTATGCCCGGGCCCATGGTTAATAACGCTGTTATCAAGATTCATCCTCCGTCAAAATTACCTGAAGCTACGAATATGGAGAATGCAGAGTTGAAAACGGTGATTGAGAGTTTGAGGTCGGGTATCTGGTCGATTCGGGGGGAGGAAGAGGGGAAGGGGGATGAGAGGGATGTTGAGGATGACTGACGTGCTTGAGGGGTACATATCTTCTTGACGCGGGGGAAGTCGGCGAATGCATTGGATGAGCGGATGCACGTATAGAACAGACTTTGCTACATTGCTTCACACAACATACATGTTCTCCCTTCGCATGGACACCGGCCCTTCTTCTCGTAGCAAGCATAGCCCATGATTTTTCCTCATCCTATCCATATCTATCTCGAAGTGAGGGTACACGAAACGAAAGACTACGAACAGAAGTCGTGGAGAGCCATGACATGTGGCAGACAGCCCGAATAAGAAGATTTTTGTTGTCATAACATAGACGTAAAAAGATTGTTCCGGATGGCGTAGTGTAGTTAAATGTTTGAAGACATACCGCTATCTCCATCCGGGTAATGAAGTACCATGTTGTCAGCAGGAGGGAGGAGCAACTGCGGATATACGCCCTCTTTTCATCGTCCGGCCGGTCGTTGAAAGATGTATCAATCATGTAAAGGAGCTTACACAAGGAAGCGTCGGTACTTGTCGGAGAGTTGATGAACTACTCGATCAAAGGATCAATGTTGATCCACGACAGGGTATATAAGAGTACACGGAGTTGTCGGTGCAGGACCACATACCTCTATACCATATATCATTGCGACAATATGAGCAGCTCTCAACAATCTTGCAACGACGCTTCCAGTCAACACACTGTATGTCCCGTTCTGTCTTCCACCGCCTCCTCGCGCTCTCGCTCTGACAATACACTATTGCAGGACGGCGCAGCCGACTCTTCTGCGTCCAAGCGAGGTCGAGGTGCGCCGATGAAATATAGTGAGTCTATATCCCTGTTGAGCGAATAACAAGCAGAGGTAGTTACGTTGTTTGATTGTATGGGCTGACGTTGTTGGTGCTAGGTACGAACGAAGAGCTCATGACGCAGCGACGAAAAGGTTTGACTTTCTCCGCTTTTTTCAAGCCTACGGCTAGGTAATGGTGATCTGACTTTTGCGATAGATCGTGAACATACGAGGCGATACAGAGCAGCCAAAGCAGCCAGAACGCGAGATTTAGAAACCCAAATTACTCAACTCGAGTCGACGACCGACGCGACGAATGCAGAGAATGCAAAGTTGAGGAGTCTTATCGCGAGTTTGGAGTCTGAAATTTGGTCGATACGTGAAGAATTGGATGGTGAGATGGTGGTGGACGATGAGTACTCGTACGACTGGCGTTCTTGAGGAGTGAATCATCTGTCGACATTGAGGAGGTGATCAATGGCACCGTATGCTCTTAGTTGAATGTGATCCATATGACATGTGCCATCGTCATCGTCTCTCCATGGACCGCTAATCTTGTCTTTCGATTCTTCTCCAAGAGTTCGAATTCAATATGACCGGCTTTCACCCAACAGAAAGATGACACTTCGGGGAAGGGTGACTTCGGGGTGCCGGTGATGAATGTCCCACGTCACTACTTTCTCTCCCGGCTATCTCGGCTGCCGATACCGAGCCGATACGCTCCGCTACGATGTTTCTCCTGCAGTTTGCTTGCAGTTGTTCTGTAGTTGCACTGTTCATCCCTTCATTATAATGGTACTGACTACGCCACTCCTCCCCTCGAGTATCCCTCTCCTCCCCCTGCCCCCTCCCCAAGTACTCTACCCCTTCCTCCGCACCACCTTCCACCTCTCACAGCACCAGCTCGATACCGTCCTCGACGCATTGCTAGGCCCCGAAGATCAAGGCGGGGATGAGGAGGTTGCTGTTGTGAGGGGGAGAATTGTTGCGGCTGTGCCTGTTGGGGATGGAGATTCGAGAGTAGGCAGATGGGCTTGTGGTGAGTGGTTATGCGTTTGGACACGAACATGGACTGACGCTCCGCTACAGCTGCAAGGGTCAAAGCTGTGGAGAGGGATGGCGACGCGTATAGGATGGTGGTTGAAGGTATAGTGAGTGCTCATAATTTAATCCGATGAGTATTAGCTGACTATACGCGAGGCTCGTATCTATCTACCGCGCTCCCTTCCCCCGACCTTATCAATCCTCCCCGGCTCCCCCATCACCTATTCCGACTATTCCATCCCCCTCCCATCCCCCACCCCAATCACAGCCAGCCTCCTCCCATACGCCAAACGCCTCCTACCATCTCAAGTCCACCAAAGACTCTCCGCTATCCCGCCCCCGCTGATGGCGGACCTGCTGGTGACGGTGCTGCAGGTGGAATGGAAGACGAGGGTGGAGTTGCTTGGGGTACCGGATGGGGATGCGAGGGTGGAGAAAGTGAGGGATTTGATGAAGGATATGCTGTTGGAGAGGGGGATGGCAATACCGGTTGGGGAAGGTCAGTCAAGGGAAGACGTCAAGCGGATTCCTGTGGTCACGTCCCGGCCTCCTCCCGCCCAGCGAGCGTCTTCGTCCACAGCAGAAGACGACGAGTTGGCCCCTCTCAGCCGTCTTTTCCAATCACGTCAATCCGAGCTCTCCCACCTCGCATCTTCGACCCTGGCAAGAGAGCTCAAAAGGCTCAAGGGGATAATGCCAATGTCGCCAGAGTATGGGGTGGTAAAGACGTATGTGGAGTGGTTGTTGGCGTTGCCGTGGGAGAGAGTTGATGAAGTGGATGTGATGAGCTTGGAGGCGGCGAGGGAGAAGTTGGATGAAGATCATGAGGGGCTTAGGGATGTGAAGAGAAGGGTTGTGGAGTATCTTGCTGTTTATCGGTGCGTTAGTATCCGAATTGGATGAAGAGGTTGCTGACAGGTTGTAGGCTGAAACGACAATTGTTTCTGGAACAGAAGCAAGCCGCTATCAAGGAGTCGCTTGAGATTAAAGAGAACGTCGCCTCTCCCGTCAATGTCAGCGATGAACGAAAAGTCGAACTTCTACCCTCATCCGAACAAAGCTCTGCCTCCTCTACGCCTACTCCGACCCATACACATGCCAGTAGTCTAGCCGTAAAAGACAACGAGGACGGTCCACCAAACGATACATACAGAGACAAGGGTCCCATCCTCCTACTAGTCGGTCCTCCCGGTGTCGGCAAGACGTACGTTCCCTCCCCTCCCCTCCCCTCCCTCCCCCCCCTTCCTCCCTTACTTTCCCATTGCTTTCCAAAGCTGATATTTTCCGAAGATCTATAGCCCGCTCCATAGCCGCCTCCCTAGGCCGCAAATTCCACCGAATCTCCCTCGGCGGTGTGCGGGACGAAGCAGAGATCAGAGGTCATCGGAGGACGTATGTGGGTGCGTTGCCGGGGGCGTTGGTGCAGGCGATGAAGAAGGTTGGGGTGGCTAATCCGGTTATTCTTTTGGATGAGGTTGATAAAAGTGAGCTCCCTTCTTTGGCTCTGGGAGGATGCGGAGGGGAATGGAAGAGAAGGGAAGCTGATGAGGTGATGGTAGTGGGGACGTCGAATTATAATGGGGATCCTTCGGCGGCGTTACTTGAAGCGCTCGATCCGGCTCAGAACTGGGCTTTCCACGACCAGTACGTCTCCTCTTTCCACCTTGGTCCCTCAAAGCTGATGGTCGCCTAGCTATCTCGGCGACGTCCCAATCGACCTCTCCCGAGTCCTCTTCATTGCCACAGCCAACGACCTTAAACCCATCTCCCACCCCCTTCTCGACAGATGCGAAATCATCCCTTGCCCCGGGTACCTCCCTTCCGAGAAAATCAGCATTGCGCTGAAACATCTGCTGCCTAGGCAGATTGAAGAAGCGGGCTTGCCGGAGGGAGGGGTGGTAATGGGGGAGGAGGTGGTGGGGCGGTTGGTGGAGGGGTGGACGTGGGAGAGTGGGGTGAGGGGGTTGGAGAGGGGACTGGGGGGTGTTTGTAGGGGTAAGGCTGTGGAGTGGAGTAAACATCGAGAGGGAGGTGGTGAGAGGTATGAGAGGAGGGTGGGGGAAGAGGATTTGGAGAGGTATTTGGGGCCATCGGAGAATGAGGTTGAGGAGGTGGAAGAGATGAAGCCTGGAATTGTCAAGTGAGTCGTCCATGCCGGTCTACTTTCTCGTGTCTTGGTGCTGACGATTATGTAGCGGCTTGACGTACGATTCATCTGGAAATGGTGGAGTACTCGTGCTCGAAACGGTGGCTGTCCCGGGAGGAAAGGGAGAGCTGGAAGTGACGGGGCAGTTGGGAGAAGTCTTTAGAGAGAGTGTGGGCCTTTGTCTGACTTGGGTGAGTCTCGTTTCTCTTTTCGAGAGCCCAAGCTGATAGCGTGGATAGGTGAAAGCGCATGCGGTGGGTCTTGGAATACCGACGTCAAAGTTCAAGAGTACAGATATCCATGTCAGTCCTTCTCCCTTCTTCTATGCCCTCTTTTGATGGACTTTACGCTGATAAAGACATAGTATCATGCCCCGGCAGGCGCTATCAAGAAAGACGGTCCCTCCGCCGGTGTCGGTACCGTACTGGCGCTCGTTAGTCTTTTGACAGATCGACCAATGCCGAGGGGGACGGCGGTGACGGGGGAGATGAGTTTGAGGGGGCGGGTGTTGAGAGTTGGGGGGATTCGGGAGAAGGTTACGGGGGCTTTTAGGATGGGGATGACGAGGTGAGTCTTTCGCTTCTTCATGTCTTGGGATGTGGGTTCGCAAGAAGTGCTGATGGAAATACAGGGTGATACTGCCAAGGTCGAATCAACCGGATGTGGAGAGGGATGTACCGGAGGATGTGAAGAAGAAGATCAAGTTCGATTATGTTGGGAGCATGGAAGAGGCGTTGGAGACTGTTTGGGGAAAGGGGATCTGGGCTGGGGAAGATGGAGGCGAGCGAGGGCGGAGGATGGTAGGGGAAGGGCTGGAGGCGAGGTTGTAATAGAGGGGTGAAGGGTGGGTTGTATCTGTTATTGTTATGTTGTACGGGCATGGTAGCTATAAACATGCACATGTGTTCTGACATATGCATACTTTGGGTCGTCGAGTTTAATGGACAGGTGTTACAGACGTACGGAGAAGGTGCACATCTACCAGACATCTCTCCGCTGGTGAATTTGCTTCCGCAAGTCACGGCCAGTGGCCGACGGCCTGCGCAGACGACGACAAGAAAAAGGATCTATCTCCTTTCATCGCATTGCCCGACAACAAACACCCAGCATAGGCGGCAGGGACACCAGATACAGATCACAATGGGAAACTGACTCGACACTCGTCCAGTCCCGAAGTCCACGAAGAGACACGATGGCGAGGCAACGACGTCGTGATGGCGTCGAGCGATGTTTGGCTCGTATACCCCTGTATTGTAAGCAACTTCCCCTCAAGCGATACTTGTACTAATGTGTATGATAGTCAGCTATACTATCTTGATTACGACGTGGATACTCTTCATGCTGTTCATCACTCTCGGGGAGGTACTGATTCGACGCAGAGAGGTCGGACGGTTTCTGGAACAGTAAGAGCTTTTTCATCTATAACGATCAATCCTGACCCGTACGATAGGATTGTCATCTATAACGGACTCTTATTTATGACCTTGCTATCCCTCTTTACGACATCCCATCGCTCCCCCGGCTCTCCCGACCAGTCCCTCGCCCCGCCGTTCGTTCGACCTCCCGTTGCTCCCTCTCCCCACCGCGAGTTCAGTCCTCCCAGCTCCAATCGCCACCGAACCATCAGCCATTCTGAAGGAGATGCGGAAAATGGGGGAATTCACGAAGACGACGTACCGCTGCGATATCTCAGAAATTCAAATCGGACGTCAAAGCGGTCGGAGAAAGACAGGCCTTCGCCTCTTCTTTTGCGATCAGGCGTTGGGTATCCTCCTGATGCCCCCAAACGATTTCCTTCTCCAACCGATTTGTCCGAAAATACCGCATCAACTGAACGTAGCGACTTCTCCCCCTTCCCATTGAGCGCCAATCCTCTATTGCCTCACTCTGCCGAAGAAACTGGCGAAGACGACAGTCAAGAACGTATCATCCACGCCACGGACGAAGCTTTGGGAGATACCGAGGAGAACACTTCTCTTCTTCCGAAGGAGAATGGGGATGTAGGAATGAGTCTGATGGCGAAGGGGAGCAATGGGGGAGCGAGGTGGTGCAAGAAGTGTGATGGCTGGAAGCCGGATAGATGTCATCATTGTCGGCAGTGTGACCGATGCGTGCTCAAAAGTGAGTTCTCGCTCATCTGGGGAAAACCTCGAAGCTGATAGAAGCGTAGTGGATCATCATTGTCCTTGGGTGGGTTCTTGTGTCGGATATCATAACTGTGCGTCTCGTATCGTCTCATCCCTGATCGACTGTCGCCAACGTATGATCCTCGGCTGACCACGATACAGATAAATCGTTTCTTCTCTTCATCACATACGGTACCCTCCTCTCCATCTACTCCGTCTTTAAAACAAGCTACGAGACCTATCGCTTCTTTTCCGACCCCGATGCGGCAGTCTCGCATCGTAGGCCGTCTAGTAGCAACTCGACCGTGCTCGATGACGCCAAGAATGCACATATGAGTGACTGGTCTGTACGTATGAACCCTTGTCACCGGAGAGCCAAGAATATTCGCTGATCAAAGCGTTGCAGAACGATATCGGCCTCTCACCGGCGGTCTTCATGATGCTCACGATTTTGGGAGTGTTTATAGGGCTATCGGTGGGCGCGTTGGCTTGTTTTCATTGGTGGCTTGCAGCGTTCGTAACAGCTCATACCCTTTCTCCATTGACCTGTACTGGCGCGTATGCTGACATATGTGATAGGCATAACCAAACGACGCTCGAAAACATCACCCACTCATACCCCTCCGCCCTTCTCGACCTCCCCCCTCCTCACTCTCCTTCCTCTCCCTCTCCCTCCTCACCTCAACCACGAGACCGCAATACATCCTCCTCTCGTCAACCATACCAGGAACCGAGGCTCTGGAAGCCGGATCACATGCTTACTCGTAGGGAACGCGAACGGCTGAGGCATGATGCGAAAGAAATCAATGTCTACGACTTGGGATGGAGGAAGAATTTGAGAAGAGTGTTCTTCGGGGAGGGAGAGGTTGGGGCGTGGGGTATTTTGGCGGCTTTGTGGCCTAGGGCGGGTAGATCTAGGTAAGTCCTCACCTTATACTCTTGGAGAGAGCAAGGAGAGGGAGAGGAGCTGATGAGGAGTGGTAGAGATGCAAGAGCTGGACATTACTTTGAATTTGACGCGAAGGCGTTTGAGAAGCTCAAGGGGGTGACGATGGAATTGAGGTATGGAGTGGTGAAGGATGAGTTGGAGGATTCGGACACGGAGGAAAGCGAGGGAGAAGATGAGGACGGTTGGGAAGGGGGCGGAGACGGTGTAGTGGCGAGCGAGGATAGGGATGGCGGGGATCGAGTGAGGACGGTATAACTCAGAGAGGTGATGTTGCGAGTCTAGAGCATCATCTGTATCCGTATAACGTGTGCAACGATGTCTTTGAAGTATATCTTATTGATGACCAGGTAAAGTAGCTACACTGGGCTCTTGTAGCGTACGTCAATTCATCACAGAACTTGTCATAACAACCTCGACTATTATGAACGATGTAAGAACAGCTAGGGATACATTATGTGAAGTATTGCGATTTGTTAAAAGCTTTGAGAATCCTCTCTCACGGACCGAAGGAAAGTGTTGTTACATGTGTGTGCCATTGACGGCGTTGATGTTGAACCAAGCTGGACTATCGGAAGAAGGAATCTCGAACGTATCGGTTTTTGTATATTGTTGTTGTTGAGCAAACATGACTGATTGAGGTGTGAATGTGTTTAGCCGAGGGGTGTGGGCATGATCTAAAGCCGAGAAGCGTGTCTGGAATCGGCTAACTTGCTGAGGTAGAAAGTTGTAGCTGCTTTGCTGTTGGGTTTGGGCCTGATGTGTGGGGGGAGCGGTAGACGGCTCTCTAGTCAAGTATAGGTTATAGGGTCGGTTTTGAATAACGAAGTGGCTCTTTTCATCAATCATCGTGTGCTTCTGCGCGCCGCTGACAGCGACTGGCTTACTGAGACATCCCTCTACGCCATCTGCTTGATTACCGACGTTATATCCATGATGCGCGCAATTGAAAGGCGGGGGTACAAGCTGGTGATCGTCATCCAACACCATCGGCTCTTGAAACAGCTTTGACTGGTCGAAAGGGACGTCAGAGTAGCTTCCGTCCCATTGGAGCGGCTCGTTGTTTGTATATTGATGAGTTATTCCCTGATCCATTGGCTCCATCGGAGATGCTGATGCGGTAAAGGAGGGGGTACTGTAGCCGCTTTGGGTTGGACTTATCCATCGTGGATTGATAGTACCGTTGGACATTTCACTATCGCGTCGCATCCCTACTCCCGCCATATCATCATTGACACCAGACAAGCTCGTTGTAGAAAGCTGAGCAGTAGATGTTGTGAATGGAGAGTTTGCAACATAAGCCGACGAAGTACTATCCATCGAACCGAAGAATCGAGGAGTGGGAAGAGGCGTTGGGATGATCGAATTTGCGAGCGATTGTGAGTTGACATAGGGAGAGGTGAAGACGGGTCTGTCGATGGAAGAGGAGAAGGGCGTGGGTGGATCCGCTGCCGGAGCAGCAATCGACTGATCACCGGTACACGATCCGCCAATGGAAGCATTCGCCAGCGCGGCGTCGATCTGTAAACTCCCATGCCGGGGCATAGAAATCCCACGCTGCTCCTCCTTCTGAGGAGCTGCAAGTGAAAGCGATGGCGCAAGAAACGCTCTCCATTCGTCTATCGTACTCGGCAGTACCCCGGGTGTCTGGATCGACGCGGGGGCCGAGTGGTATAGACGAGATGTCAATGGAGGAGACATGAGAGACAAAGAGTGGTTGGATACTGCGAGCTCGGCTGGGGATTGGTTTTGGGAGTGGAACATCATTGTAGGCGGCTGGGCTTGCGGTAAGGGTGGTACTTGGGCGATGCGATGGACTTGACCCTCAGGCATCTCGGGGATATCAGGAAGACGACTTTGGGGCATGTCAGGTTGAGATGGGGCCGAAAGACGGTGCATGGCTGTGATGGGAGCTATGGGTGTAGCCGGCTGTTCTGACTGCTCGTGGATGTTAGAAGCCGGAGTGTCGTTACTGTTATTCTTGACCCAAGCGTCTACTCTTTTTCGTCGACTTTCGCGCATAACTTCGCGCACTTCTTTGGCTTTCTCGAGGATAGCAGGGCCGGCTCGAGTACGTACGATATCGCCGTTTGCTAGACGACGAGTACGTACGAGCTTGGGTGGGGCTCTTCGTTTTACTGTCGACAAGTCCTCTGGAGTAGAAAGGCGATGAAGGGTGGGATCTATAGACCGTTAGCTCGAGTGTTTCAGGCATGAGATGAAGACGAACGAGCCCATACACTGGCATTGGAGACGTTGCCGCTGGCATCTTTGAATTGTCGTCCGGGGAAGAGACGAGAGAATCCGTATATCTGCATCGAACATTAGTCAGCTATAGCGTTGCTGCCGAGATGGACTTACGTTTAGTTGTCTACCGAACGATGCGATCTTATCATGTTTAAAGAGCTTGGGAAGTACTTCTTTGGCGAGCTGTGAGGTCAGACAGGGGGGGAAGTAAAGTCAGCAAGCGATACGCATCATCAGTCAAGCATGTACTTACCCTATCGGGATGCGCGATGACTAGTTGTCTGCTGTCTGAAGCCCAGTATATAACATCGGGACAAGGATGAGGGCTCAAAGCAAGGAAACTGCATCGTGTCAGCCTGCACTCCATGAGATGCTCGTCAACCTACGCGTAAAGCTTTTGGAGGAAGTTTGGTTGTCGTTGACCATTGTTGTCGCCAATTCCTGTCATGTAGGTCGCATGTTGAGAGCCGTATATCATATTTCGTACCGTATCAATATCGAATTAGACTCTGTGTGAATCAAAGCAAGCGTCAAAGCGGTATTTCGGTGGCAAAAAAGTAGCACAATCGTCTGTCATGTCTCACGGATCTGACAAGCGCCGCGGCGAGTCTCCCCCTTTTGTAGAAGTATCTCCAGCAAGCTCGAGGTCCTGAGCCAGTGCATTCCATGTTCCGATAAGCGCGCATCGAGGAGATCCCTTGATTAGGATTTCATGTCAAGCGAGACGCCAATGGAGAGTGATCTTTCTAGGCTCGCCGTGCGCGTTGTTCCGCTGGTATTCCGAATAAAGCCACAACTGGGCAAGTACGGCGCTCCGCTGGATGTATTGCTGAGTCTTCGAGGGGGAGAAGCGGAGCCACGTCCTTTCATGGTTCCGGGACCCTCTGCAAAGGTGAGGTGGGGTGTTTGAAAGGAGACGTGTGGGGTTTGAAAGGAGACGTGTGGAGGGAGATGAGATGCCATTCGTCGGCTGTTCGGCTCGTCAAAATCAACTCGCTAGATCAGCTATTTCGGTCACAAAGTCAAAGAAGACGCAGGCAGAAGTGTGAGCGCACTATCGATTCATGATATATTCGGGATAAACCGGAGAGGAGTGATGTCTGCCGACTATTTTGCTTGAGATCTCGCCAATGTCGATGATTAGACGAGAGTGGGGTATGAATGGATGTTGCTTGCAGTTGTGTGATTTTCATTTACACTATTATCAGTTTAGCCCGCAAGCTTTTGACATCCGTTAATAGACCGCCAAGGACCGAAGACTCGTTGAGAGTGCTTCACACGGCACGGTCGAGTACGTACACGTTGAGTAGACGTTCGTTGAATCCAAGTTGAATCATGAGGGATGCGCTGGAATCTTAAATGCGTTACCACTTTGTGGCTCGGATGTTTTTGCCGTTCGCGATTCGCGGTGTTGAGTTGAGCATGCTGCATACTGTCCCTTCTTCCATCTCTTCTTTATTATTCTTTATTCTTCTTGCCCCCCCCCCGGCACACCACATGGACCTCTCCAACCTCCAGTCCACCCTCCCGCCCGATCTGGCCGACGCCCAGCGGGATATTGGCGACAAGTTCAGAGGTGAGTCGGCATTCCTGAGCGTCGGGTCCACCCAGCCGTCTATACCCAGCCGTGGGGTGTACGCTTTTATCTTCGAGGCTGTACGAATGGAGAACTGTACCTGACACCTGACTACAGCCGCTGCCGCCAGCATCGCAGCCCTCTACAAGAGCTCTTTATCTGTGACCAAGGTACGTCAATATTATTGCCGCCATGTGTGCCTGATGGGAGGTCAACTTGGCAAGTGAGTGCTTGGTGCTGACTGATGTGATATAGCAAGGATACAATGCTGGCTACTCACAAGCTCTGTAAGCTTATATTGTGGAAGTAATACGTCAAAGCTGACATACGCTCTGTAGTATCGACTTGCTTTCCACGGTTCAATCTTCCATCGGCGAAGGACAAGACTCTGCTCAGGCTCTGAGTAGGCTCATGGATTGGGCTGATGCTCGACAGGTATGATACGCTTGTGCATTGTAGATCGCTGTAGCTGATATACTTGTAGGCTGCGATATCGGCTTTTGCTGCAGACGAAGCCGAAGACACCTCTGCCCCCTCTTCCTCCCAGCCCCGCCCCCAATTCCCCCATCGACAGTCCCACCTCATCCCTACCCGTCCAGCATCGGCACCCGCCCTTGACCGCTTGGGTGCTGGCCGCCCCCCTGCAGGAAGACCAGTCTTCGGAGGAGAGGGGGATGTTACGGTGAATGGGAGGGTGGGGACGAGTCGGTTGAGAGGTGAAGGGGATGCGACACCCTCGAGAAATGGGGCTTTGTCGACATATCAGCCAACTCCTGCGCCCCTTCTATCATCTCCCCTTGATTCCCCCTCTTCCCATTTACTGGCGCCAACGACGAAACCCTCGCGCGGTCTCCCTATCCGTTTCACTTCCTCTTCCTCTTCCTCCTCTTCCCTGTCCCATCAACCACAACATCACGCTGAAAGCTCATCGCAAAATCGACTTGACACACCCCCGAATACCTTACCCTCATCGACTTTCAACCCTTCCCTCCCGCCTCTACCTGCGGCCACGAGCGCCGAATGGCCGAACATGGAGGGCGCCCAAGATGGTGCGCCAGGACAAGACTACCCCACGGGGGCGAAGCGGCCGATAGTGGAGAGTATGGACGTTGAGGAGCCTGCTGTCGCTGCTGTTCCCGTCGGTATCTCTCTGGCACCGGGGTCGGCTGGCGGAGGGACGAGAACGCAGGGGAGAGCGGCAAAGAGGCGGAGTATGGGAACGGTCAAAGATGATGATGAGAAGGTTGAGAGAGGAAAGAGGGGGCGGGGTAGACATGGGCACGGAGGGGGCGGGGCTGGTACAGGGCTTTGAGGTATGGAGAGTCGGGGAGTTGTCGCCGGGGAGTATAGTCATTGTTGACACCTGCATCTCGACATTCATGTCATGTAACACCATTTTGTATTCCCTTGAACGCAAGAGTTGCATATGCGGAACAGCAAAGGCGACACGATTCGAAACTATCAAATACAATCCACTATGCTGCCCTTCCAGCAGCGAGATCCTGTGAGAAAGGCGAATTAGTTTATCGCTCAGAGAAGACATAGCAAGTACGTACCTTGTACACCTTCAAAGCCTCGAGCTCGCCGATAACCCTATCGTTCCTCTCTCCTTCTTCGGTCCTCCCAGCCCTTGTCAAATCTTCAAGACTAGGCATCCCATCCTCTCCCAAAACGCCCATACAACCGACATCTTCGCTATCCTTTCCGTCGTTCCTCGCGCTCTCGATCTTGAGACCCTCTTCGTTGGCGAGATGCAGTAGACAGATAAAGCAGAACGATGTAGATATGTCGGACATCTTTTGAGCGGGATAGGTGGTTCGGAGGGAGGTGATGATGTTGTTGAATGTCTGGACGGGTTCGGCTTTGTCCTTGTCGAGTTCGGCGTCAACAGCAGCGGTGTCGCCGTCTTCGTCGGTGGGAGGAGGACCGTCGGGGATAAGTGTCTTGAGACCCGACCAGATATCGTCCTTCAACCTCTTCACATCCACCCTCTTTGCCTTCTTTGCGAAATGGACCGTCTCCGGCCTCGCCCTCTTCAACTCCATCCCTTGCGTCCCTGCCAACAGGTCCTCCTCGCCGCCATCGCCGCCGGCGACAGGGATGGGTAGACCGTTCTCGTCGTATGTGATGAGGGGCTCGTCGTCGTAGTCCATGATGGCGGGCATGTCGGCGCCGCCGTCGTAGCCGTCGTCGTCGTCTTGGAAGAATTGGGATTCGAAGGGAGCGGGGGCGGAGCCGAATTCTGTAAGATAAAGTTAGCTTGGGTCGATGGGAGAGCGCCGGGGGAAAGCAGAAGACAAATAGACACCACATGGGGAAGGTGGCCGAAAAGAAGAAGAGGGGGGAAGAGAGAACATACCATCGTTGTCGACATCACCCTCAGCTCGCTCAGCAGCAGCATTCGCCCAAAAGTTCTCATCAATCTCGCCGTTCTCATTCACTACCACTTCATCAGCACGACCAACAAACAACACGACTAGACGTACCAGGCGCTTGCGTCCCTCCCCCAGCCCTTCGCACTCTCAAAAAGAACTTTGGCTTCAAAAACAGCCTCAGCAGCTGATGACTGCTAAAGTGCATGTCGTCCGGCAACAAGTACTCTTCCTTTCTCGTCTTTGCGGCGTTCTCCCCCTTAGGGGGTGAAGAGAGTTACATAGATCTTGTAAAGCTCATCAGTTCTATGTACTTAGGCT